ACATTTCCCATCCTTGGGAAAAGGGGAAACTTTGTACAGGTTTCTTAGGGCAGAAGCAATCTCTTTGTAGTGTTCTCAGACACAGAATAAATCTCAAATTGCAGCCAGTGGGAGTGAGGGTAGATGGAGCTTCATGGGTGGGGAAATAGTAGGAATGGAGAAATTGAGATGGGACAGCGCATACAGCAATGCACTGAAGACATTTAAATGTGCATGCAGTGGCAGAAGAAGCAAGATTATGATGGCCAAGCTCCTGGGTGCAACTTGGTGAGAGCATTTGCTGTGGCAACCTGCTGTTGTATTTTCAATACTTGGCAATAACCAGTTATGAAAGAGAAAGAACCTGAATGGTACTGATTAATCAAGAGACAACTGGTCAGACTTTGCTGACAATTGTCAAAACACCACCACAAATGACAGTTCTCCCAAAGTTTCAGTGAGAAGATTTTAAAAGCTCAGGCTGAAAAATCTGTGTCTTTACTGAGACATGGAAAAGCATTAGGTAAGCCAAGTATTAAAAATTCTATTTGTTTATTATTGAATTGACATTTTTCCACACTTAAGACAAATGGGCTTGGAAACTGTCCCTTAAGCAGCAAAAAAATCTAATTTAAGAATCAAAATTATTTTTTGACTTCATGCTTAACTTATATTTCAGCAATATTAGGTAAGACATAAAGTATAATTAATGCTTATGAAATAAAGTCCTTCCCTCTGATAACTTAGATTTCTTCTGTTGACAATTTTTCTTGAAAATACACTTAGGCAGGTAAGAAATTACCAAAAATACTTGCCATTAGAAAAATTACCTTAATTCTCATTAATCCCTGACCTCTTACAAATTGGTAGGTTGAAGAGGCATACATTTTACCAGTGATCTTTTTGATTGAGGATACTGGACCTTTACAATATACATTTAAATTGTTCAAATAGTTTTCAATGTACATACTATAAAATATTATTGTTTCAAGAGTGGAAGTCACATTTAACACACCATACATGATTCATCTGCATATTTATAGAGGTTTAAAGCACACAAAATTGTGTAGATAGCATACTGAAGTCTAAACTCTAACATATACTCAGTTGCATACATAGCAACAAGATACAATAAATTCTGAACAAATAACAGCCAATAATCAACCAGATTGCTATGTACACATTAGGAAGGAAGCAATTAAATACTGCCAAATAAGAATATCACTTAAATTACTTTTTCTGTGAAATATCTCTCTGCCACCACATACGCACGCGCGTGCATGCACACACACACACACACACACACACACACCCCCCTTTTTTTTTTTTTTTTTAATCACAAACATCAAACTGATGCTTATGGCTACATACACGGGTTATCCCCAAACATCTGATTTTCACAAGGCAAGAGACAACACAGCAACTCAGAGCGACTTACAATAATTTGCCAGACTTGGCTTTTGTAAATCAGTCACTGGAGGGTGATTACTGTGAAAATATATTCAGACTTTCATGTCATGGACTGCAGGAAGAGGAGCAAAGAGTCTTAACTAATAGCTTTATAACCTTTGCCACTACATTAAATTTTGGCTTTGCTAAAATAAAAATATGTGTATATCTGTAGGAAAAGACCCTATGATAATATTTAAAACAACAAATCTCCTACTTCCTTTATCACGATAGAATATTTTTCACAGCCCACTTATCCAATTGTTAAACAAAACCAACCATCCTTTTGAATAGTCATTTTAAAAAGTCATTATTAGTGGAAATAGAAGAAATAATTGAAAAAACAAATATAACTACTGTATGAAGATATGGTGGAAAAAGCAGAGACCTGAACTATAGCAAAATCAGTGCTTCATAAACAGTCAATGGATTTTTCTAAAAATACTTTTTGCTAATGGCAAAGTTCAACACCTCAGAAAAACTCTGAATTAAGATCTTAGAATAAGTTTCCAAGCTATACAACATGGTTTCAAATACACTACCCTTGTTGTTTGTAAGGCCGCATTGAAGTTTAGCTTAACAGTCATAAGCCACGTGTTTGAACATCTTATGAGAGGTGACCAGCAAAGAAAACAGTTTTTTTCCCCTGCTCACCCTTTTACCTATGAAGAGACACCACTGCTTTTCCAAATAGCTATTTAAAAAATGTCCTTAAAGATATGACCTTGAAGGAAAAAGTCCAGTTTTGCTTCATTAAATCATCTGGAAAAATATTTAGACTTTATAAAGTGAACATGCAAAAGTTTGAAGTTCTCGGAGAGTGTTCCTTTGTTAATCTATAGCTACCTTCTTTAATTGGTATGTGATAGCTTAATAGGCACATATACCAAGGGATACACACTCTTTGCTGTAGCTCTGCTACATACAAAGTTGAGAGAGCTGTAGAAAAATGTCATCACCTTCCTAACACCTAACATGTGTACGTTTTCAGAAGCCAGTGGGTGTACATTTTCAGAAGCCAGTGAATTCTGTGTCTTGTTGACATAACAAGGGAATTTACATGTGCTTCAGATACACCTTCCCTTGGAGAACTAACTTAACTGTTGAGTTAGTTCTCCAAGAGAAAGTAACTACATCTCGGGTGGAGGATGAAGAACCAGAGGAGGCCAAGGAGTTGGTATTTCCTGGGATGCCTTTTTGCCTAACAGAGTTATCTTCAAGGGAAGAGCTGAAATCTCACCAGGGTGCACATTTGTATGGCAGGATAACAATGACTGAGGGGCCAGTCCTCCATTCCACTTGTCTGGCATGATCTCCTAGCAAGGACAGGGTAGGTGCTTGCCAGGTGGTTCCCGGACAAGGTTTCTTTAGAGGAGTGCAACAAGGCTTCAGTCATTGCTTTTTATAAAGTGCTTTGGGATCCTTCAGGAAAGAGGGCTGGTGAAATATTATTCCTAACTGGCTTTAATTTTCAAACCAAATGAAATCATTTTCTCCAGTGTAACTATTGCTTCGAGCATTAGTGAATGTTCTTCAAAGGGAATGGCTCTCATCTTTTAAGTACCTACTTCTTAAAATACTCATTCCCTGGAGTGAATGTTTTTAATTACTGTCTCCCAGGCACTCTCACCAATTAAGAGGATGTTTTAGCTTTGTTAAGTGGTTGCCAAACCTATACATCCATGACTTGCATTTTCCAGGTTGTACTCCCTCAAGAGTCTATATAACAAGAAGAAATCGAAGATGTAGCCCAACATGCACTATGCCTGCCTGGCTGAAGCAACAGGCTCCTGCCTCTTCTAAGACATGGTTGAGAAGATGTATAGTGAACGTATGGCTACGTTCTTAGATCATACTGTGAGCTTCCTGTGGCCTGGGACTATGTTTCACACTTGATTCTTTGGGTATAAATGGGACTTAGAATTGAGATAGACATATGGGAGAACTTCAGTCAGGGATTTTTGAGGATTTTCACAAATGATGAAAGCTGATCAAGCATGTTAGAAAAGCCCCTGAAAAGAGGACCTGGGACAGTTTCCTTCAGAGTTTCTCATATTGGATTCAAAAAGAATGAAAGACAAAAATCCATTGTATCCAAAATTAAACCAAACAAAAACGATAAAATACAACAAAACATCCTCAGATATTGTAAAATCTCTATAAGTAGAAGATCAGCTAAATGAATAAAGGACTGTAAATTAGAGAACACAGTTCTCTCTCACAAGAATGTATTGATATGAACTGGGCTCACAAAATATTGCAAAGTGGAGATACGGGGAAACCTTCCTGAATAATGGCTAATTATTGAAGCTATAATATACCCACTTTTATTTAGGAATATTGCTAAAAAACTGCATTTTCAATTGACTTAAGTATGCCCATTAAAATGTAGTATGCATTATTCTGTTTGTGGGCATGACTTCTTTCCTCACAGAAGATGAAAAAATAACCTTATGCCCCCAATATAAAATAGCAGGTTTAAAAATTAATGCAATTTTGGTCGAATATGCCAGAGCTTACTGACCAAATGAGGGGTCAGAAGGGTGGGTCAGTTTCTGTCTTTGCTGTTTGTTGAATGCCTTCCACCTGATTCGGTCACAAACGTCCTCCGATGTCACCAGAATCATAAGGATCAGCAAACACCTTGGATTTTTAGTTCTTCACAATTCTAGAATCTCGTCTCACAAATTCATTGAACAAACCAATCCATTTTATAATTAGAAATAAGTAGAAACGGAGCACAAATAACTCTGCCATTCTTGTTATTAACTAAGAGGCATAATTTGAAATTATGTTTTCCCCAAATTTGCTTTTAATTAATTAACTTAGATCTGTATTACATGAAGTTTGTACTCCCTGGCAACAAGGAGCTCTGTAATATTGGAAACTTGTTAGGTAAAGGTTGAACAAAGGATTTGAATTTGAAATCAGAAGTAGGTAGATGATCTGCAAAATAGGAGGTAACCTGTAGACAATTGAGTTAACTAGGTATGTACCAATTCCCAATGGGATGGCCTGCTATCAAGGGAATGATTCTGGTTCTGACCCTAACTTTGAGACTAAAGCAGCTCCGTGACCTTGAGCAAGTCACTTAACCTCTCTGAGTCTTAATTGCCCTACCTGTAAACCCAAGGACTTAGATGCATTTTATGGGCACTTCTAGTTCTAAAACTCTCCCTTTCCATGCACATAGAATTCACTTAGACAGAAGAAAACTACATTTGAAAATCCTCCCAGGCATGAAAAAGGAGCTATAGTGATTCTGATCAAGATTCTTTGGGGGTTTCATTGAGTATAAAATCTCTTAAAAAAATAAGACTGCGCTCTGGGCTTTAGTTTTCTAATGACCATAGGCCATGGGCCAAATCTGTCCCTTTCCAGCAGGGTAATTATTTATGTTTAAATCAAATGTTTTTAAAATGGAAGGGATCAGAATAATATTGTGAACAGGGGACTTTGTATGAACTCCCATGAGGAGGAACGGTAGAACTCTGTAGACAAGGATAAGGCCATAAAGAGCAATATTTAACTGAAATGCCTGTGAAGCAGAAAAGGATCATTTAGAATGTCAGTGAAGTGAACGGGTCTTGGCTCCAGGAGATGAGGAGGCTCTTTCTGAATATGTAGTGTGATTTGTCTAATTTGGACCCTTGTTTGTGAGAAATTCAGGTAGGAGGTAATGAGACCAAAAGAAAATTTCCAGGTGTTTTTAGCACAACGTTGGAATGAACCACTGGTAGAGGCTTCTGGGCATATTTTCCCTGAGGCCAATTGGGTCAGATGATTTTGGGGCAAATTTGACGTAAGGAGAGGTAGGTTGAAAGGGGAAGGCAGCCACCCTAGCCCTGGACAATCTGTCCCTTGATCTATGATGCAGGGTGAGTGGATATGCCTGTGGGGTTGTGAGAAGCCCATTGCTGACTGGCCATATCTGCAGGGCACTTTCTTGTTCAATGACAATTTCATCACCAAAGAATCGGAGCTCATCCACTGTGATTTTCAGAGACAGCCCCCATGGACTTACTTTGCTTAACTTAGAATTATAAGGGAAATATATTTCTGCCCACATCTCTCTCCCTCCCCTGTCTTATCTGCAACTCAGGCTTTCCTTTTGCTTAGCCATCTCCTTGATCCCTGTAACAATCTATGGCTCATTTTCATGCTTGGATGGGATCTTAGTATACAGGAAGGTCTACTTCCTGTCCTATTCTGTCTTTCTAAGAGTTGAAAGAGAAGTATTCCCTACTTTTGTTTCTGGAGGTCTCCACAGCACTATGCGAAGGAAAAAAAAGGCCTGTCAAGGCCTATTTAATCAGATAAGTGCTGATGGATAAACCGGATAAGGTGAGTCCTGAGAACTCTGTCCTTTGGGATGACATAGTTTAGCTGACAGGAAACCTAGGTCAAGTCCACTTGACCTTGTGCCCTAGGGACACAACCTGGGTGTCTTTCCCTCAAACTCTTAAGGTTTGGAATGGAGGGAGAAACGATGCTAATCTTATTTTCATCTATAGAACTTCTCTTCATCAATCACAAATTCATGAAAGAGCTCTAAACGCAGGGTCAGATTAGGGAACCAGTTGCAGAACTGAGGGTGTCTCTGGGATGGCCAACTTTAGACAAAGGTGCTACCAACAGGGTGGCATGTTTGAGCCACTGCATGTCATACTCCACGTTGACACAACAGCTCCTCCAACCCCTTTCTAGGCTGAATTGGGAATGGCATTGGCAACTCTGGCCTCCACGCCCCACTCTATTCCAAAAAAGAGGACCTTGAATTTGTAACCTTTGGATTTATAACATTCAAAACGCTTGAAAATGAGTGGGGACACGGTGGGGCAGGATGGGGTTAAGGGTGATGTAAAACGCAGGTAGTAGCGATGGAAGGGTGGACAGCCGGTGCGGGCCTCCCTAAAGCATGCTGCTGAGTATTTCTGACACGGAGGAGGCGGTGGGGCCCTCCTGGCTCACATCGGGGCCAGTGGGGCTGGGCAGGGCGCTGCGGCCTCCAGAGGGCGGGCTCAAGCCGGCCCACGGTTTTTCATCCTGGGCCACCAGGGCTGCTGCGTAGGGCTCCATGTAGATGCGGCGCACTGAAGGCCTCGCGTCCTGGAGACTGCTGTTCCGCTCCTCAGGAAGGCTGGCAGCGTGGGCCAGAGTTAGGCCCCTGGGACCATCAAGGGCAGGTCCGGGACGCTCGGCCTCCTCGGGCTCCTGGGCCAGACCACAGGCTCGGGACAGGTGCTGTGTGTAAATGCCCTCCGAGAGCGATAGCGACTGGCTCTCACTGTGCATGCGCAGCCACCCATGATGGCGGCTGAAGCCGCCGTAGTGGGGGTGCTTGCCGGGCTTCCGCTTTCCCAGGAAGCCCAGCGGCGGCCGCGCTCCAGACGCCTTCTTGGCGTGGTTCTTGGGCGTGAGGCTCGTGAGGGTCAGACCATGGAGAAACTCGGCACATGAGTGGTCGGGATTTGGGCCCTGGCCCTGGGGATCTGGACCCGGCCCAGGTGGGGTCTTCCCGTCGTGCACCTGTAGGACGTCGGGGGCGCTGCCGCTTAGGCCGCTAAGGGTCTGCTGCGCAATGTCGTGCGATGACAGGTAGACCAGGTCCAGGTCTCGGGGGCTCAGGGCATCGCTGGAGTCGTAGTCACTGTCGGTGGGAAGGAACACTTCCGAGCAGCCTTCTTCGTCAGAGCAGGGCTGTGAATCTGTGAAGCCAGAAACTGATGTTAGGAAAAATATATATTTTTTCCGAGACGGAGTTTCGCTCTTGTTACCCAGGCTGGAGTGCAATGGTGCGATCTCAGCTCACCGCAATCTCCGCCTCCTGGGTTCAAGCAATTCTTCTGCCTCAGCCTCCCGGGTAGCCAGGACTACAGGCGCGGGCCACCATGCTCGGCTAATTTTTTGTATGTTTGGTAAAGACAGGATTTCACCATGTTGACCAGGATGGTCTCAATCTCTTGACCTCGTGATCCAGCCACCTCGGCCTTCCAAAGTGCTGGGATTACAGGCTTGAGCCACCGCGCCCAGCCAAAATATAGTTTTAGCTAGAGCCTGTTTCACAGGCTCAGGATCAGTGCGTTTGACCCACCTTAGAAGGGTCCCTTGCTTTGTTTAATGCTGTGCTGTCACCTCCCGAAATACTTACAAATTTTGAACACGGGGCCCCACATTTTTATTTTGCACAGGGCCCCACAAATTGTACAGTGGGCTCTGGTCTTAGGGTAAGGGAAAGGAAAGAGAGGAAACTCTGACAGGTCCAACCCAGACAAAAGTAGGGGAACATTCTCTCATTCCCCACACATGCTTTTATTATTAGCTGGGCAGCTGTGGAGAGGATGAAACAGGATAGAAGGCTCAGTGTTATTCATTTATTCATTCCCTGTTATTTCAGAGATAATTTTTGCACTTGACAAAGTAGCAGGAATTTAAAAGGGTGAACGAAGAAGAGGAGACTCCAGCGGCTGAAGTTGGTAAACCTGGTTTCGAGTCCTAGCTGCCTTCCACCTCCATATTCTGAAGGACTACCTTGCTCATTAAAAAATACAAGTTACCGGCCTGGTGGCTCATGCCTGTAGTCCCAGAACTTTGGGAGGCTGAGGCGGGTGGATCATGCAGTGAGGAGTTCGAGATCAGCCTGTCCAATATGGTGAAACCCCATCTCTACTAAAAAATTACTAAAGTTAGCCGGATGTGGTGGCAGGAACCCGTGGTCCCAGCTACTCTGGAGGCTGAGGGAGGAGACTCGCTTGAACCCAGGAGGTGGAGGTTGCAGTGAGTCAAGATTGCACCAGGCACTTCAGCCTAGGTGACAGAGTGAGACTACATCCCCCAAAAAACCCAAAACAAAACAAACACAAAAAACAAGAAACAACAACAAGAAAAACAGTTAATTGAAGAAAAAGCCCACAGTGTAACCAGTTTACGGTTAGTCTGTTCATGGTGGAAAATCAGACATGATTATCATCAGAATACTGCAAAATTCAGGGATAAAGTTTGATTTGTTAGGAAGTCAGTGTCAATATTTCTTCTATTTTAAGTACTAGAACTACATGGAATGCTTTTTTTTTCCTTACTGTAGGAGATGATGTACCTACTTGCTCTTAATGGCAGGGCAAGATGTCAGTTTTGCCTTTTCATTCCTGGTTGTTATCCAGTGTTTATTATCCAGTATCCATTATTCTTTGTTTAGTTACAAAGATTATAAAATTAAGATTAATATAAAATAAAATCTTAATTTTATTTGGGACAACAATGCCCTTATGTAAAAGACCACCTTTTTTCAGCTTCCCCTGCAGCTGAGCATGGGTATATAATTAAGTTCTGGCCACTGAAATGGAAATGGAAGTATTGTATGAAACTTCTGGAAGGCTACATAAAGGGACCTGGCTTAGCTGGATCATTTCATTCTCTTTTTTTCCAGTTTGCCTGTAACTAGATGTGTTGGATGAGGTAATGGAGCAACCTTGGAGATAGAAGCCACATGCTAGGACGCTGGAGCTGAAAAATAGAGCTTGGTGCCTGAAGACCATGAAGTCCACTTATCAACCCTGAATTGTCTCCTTCTTTCACGCAAGAGAGAAATAAAGTATCTTGTGTTTATGACATTCTTATTTGGGTCTTTGGTAACATGAACCCAAACTTTATCCTAACTGTAACAAACCTAAATATCCACCAATAGAAGAATGGTTAAATAAATTGTGGTGCATCTGTACTATGGAATATTATCCAGCAGGTACAAAGGATGAGATCAATATATATGTTGTTCTTTAAATAATGGCTACCAAATAAAGGATTCCCTCTTCTGCCTTTTTGAATTCCATTGATGTGTTCAAGGTTTTCCTCAAACATAACCTCCATTAGGAAGCATCCCCTAACTGTTGGGGCAGAGATATTTAATTACTCTTGGGGCAGAGATATTTAATTCATTCATTCATTCACAATGAAGATTCTATATTACTTGAGATCCTGCTCTAATAGAAGCACTGTGTACTTGGTGCTTGAGTGGATATAAAATTAATAAGAAATTATATTTGTCTCTAGGGAGTTTACTGTTTTAATGGACACATAAAGAAAGTATGCATCTGTGAGTCTGTGGCAGAACATAGGTTTTATAAGAGAAGTTCAGCAATTAAGTGTAGGTATATAGGAAAGAGGGATTATATTTGATTGGGACAGGATTGATGAAATACTCTATCATGTCATTTGTTTTTTCCCTCCATTCATTCATCTCTATATTAATTTATTTCTTCATCCACTTTTAAAAAATGACTTGAGGTAGCTTTTAATAGTAAATATGTATATGATAAGAGGATTAGAAACCAGAGAGGAAAAGGAAAGAGCACAAGTAGGCCTGTTTTGATATTATACAAGTTGTATAAAATGTTAAAATTGTGGGAGACTGAGAGAATGGTGCATGGGACTTTCTGTACATTTCTTCGTAGTCTTTGGGGTCTATATTTCAAAAAACGTATTTTTTAAAAGAAGCATTTAATTTTTAAAAAGGTAGGGTGGAACCAGAGGAGGGTACTGAATGCTTAGATAAGGAGTTTGCATCTTATTTTGTAGCCAGTGATTAGTCATCAAAGAATTTTTAAGAATTGACGAGAGCTATGATTTAGAATAGCAATTAGGACGTAAGATGAACTTGCTGAGGAAGAGATAGCAGGGAGGCCAGCTGGGAAGCTGTGGTCCAAGCTATGTTTTCCCTCCAAATATTTATCTTGTTCAGGCTGTGGAGCTAAGCAAGAGCTGTGGTTGTGTGGAAGAAAACAGAAGTCCAGGAAAGTCATTCATTGAAAGATGTTTACGGAACAGTATTTTGTACTAGACAGACAAGATCTCTCCTTTGAATAGCTCAAAAAGAGTGGATTAGACAATAAGCCAGAAAACACCTAAGATTAATTTTGGGTAGTAAGAAGTTCTGTGAAGACAATGAAAGTGGACCTTAGCCAGAGAGTGACTTAGGAGGAAGATGCTTTTGATATGGCCATGGGAGGAGGCATCTCTGCACAAAGGGGAGTCTAGGTGAGAACCCAATGATCAGAAGGAACCAGCTATGTGAAAGTTTTAGGGACAAGTGCTAAACTAACTTTAACACTTGTCCATCCCAACTTCTTTAAACTAAAGGAGTTCAGTTTAATTTGGGTTGGGTTTTAACCCTGATTTGGGTTAGGTGGTAGAATGGATGGTAAGTTTAATTTGGGACAGGTTGAGCTGAGGGGAAGCCAAAACATCAAGGAGGAGATGAACTGAGAGCATGTGGGGTAGCAAAGCTGAAGGAAGGTATTTGTAAGTGTGGAGAAGAAGAAATTATTGGAGAGGGAATGGTTGAATATATGAGTGGTGAGGTTGATAATATAATAAGGAGGGGTGATCAGATGTGAGCACCAGTGCTGGAATTGGTGCTTAGTGAGAAAGATGGAAGGACCCATTGTCCTCAGAGATAAGTAGTTAGGAAAGAAGAAACACATATTTCCAGGTTAAAAGGAGGGAAATGTATAAAGGTCTGGGCTAAATAATTTTGATATACTTTAAAAAAGTCTTAGTACTTTTTCCAATCTTTAATGGGAAAAATAGGACACTGCAAGTAATAGAATCTCAAAATTGTTGACTGTTTTTGATGATAGCAGGGGTAGGTGCCTTAGGAGTGAGGAAGAAGAGAAGATAACTGAAGATTTGAAATTGGGCTCGAAATAGGACCCATGCAAAGAATTCATAATTGACTGTAGTTGAACTTCCTTCTTCGTTTATCTGATCAGTGTGTTCAGCTGTGTGCATGTACTTGTTTGTATCCACAATGATAATAACAATATCTGATATTTACGTAGTGCTTACTGTGAACCAGCCATAATGCTAAGAGCTCTAAGTGCTTTATTTTGTTTAATACTTACAGCAGTTCTCATTTTGCTGATCGGAATACTGAAGCTTAGGCTTCTCAAATTTTCCAGTTTGTATTCTTGATAAGTGATAGACAAATGCAAATTTGTCTCACTACAAAGACTTGCTGTACTGCCATCCACCTTAGCATTTCCATGACTTTCTGTGGAATCTTCCTGAGGAGTGGCACTTAGTTCATCTAATTCTCTTTTTGTGGTACACAGAGTTAAATTACTTAAACTCTTAGTAAGGGCTTCTTGACATTGTTGCTACTAGAGAAACACACTATATCTTGTATTAGTTTCCTGTGGCTGCTGGAACAAATTACCACATACTGGGTGGCTTAAAACAACAGAAATTTATTCTTTCACAGCTCTGCAAGCCAGAGTTTGAAATCAAGGTGTCAGCAAGGCCACACTCCCTCTGGAAGTTCTAGGGGGAAAAACTTTCTCTTGCCTTTTCCAGCTTCTGGTGGCTGTCAGCATTTCTTGTGAGCAAGCCACTGCTATCTCTGCTTCTGTCTTCTCATGGCCTCTATTCTGTGTCTGTGTCTTCTTTTCTGTCTCTTATAAGGGCACTTTTCATTGGATGTAGGATCCACCCTTATAATCCAGGATGGTCTCATCACAAGGTCTCATCTCATCACATCTGCAGCGACCCTTTTCTTGTTTCAAATAATGTCGCATTCACAGGTTATGAGGGTTCAGACACGGACATATCTTTTTGGGAGGCAGTAGAAGACTGATAGCAAAAATTGCTATAACTAGAAGCAATCACTGAAGTTTGTGACACCTTCAGTGCATAGTCAAGCACTTTGCAAAATCTGCCTGTACTTTGATCTCCCAACACACAAATAGTGACAACTTCCTGTTTGGAGGAGACTAAGGTGTATACAAAATGTGCCTTAAATGAGCTGATGGCTTAATATTTTAATGAAGTGCCATATTTTAAGACCCCCTCTCTTAAGGAGAGCCTGCATTGCTTTCCCCACATGGAGTTACTTGCTCAGTTCTTTTGCCTCTTAGAGCATTTTATTTATATCTCTGTAACTGCATTCAATAAGTTTTATTATAAATTACCCATTTTCATATTTGTCTTTCTCATTGGACCAGGAACTCTAGAGAGCATGCAGTATGTATGTCTTACTCATCTCTGCTTAGTAAATATGGAATAAGTCAGTCAACAAAGGAATGGACTAAGGAACAAATCAAGCAAAGGGATGTGTAGAATCTTTTGTATTTCCCAGATCACATAGTCTGAATATGGACATATTAGTGGACTATGAGGACCTCCCAAATATACTGTGTCTTAATCATCATTGTATTATTAACCTCTTGTGCTATAAATGGTACGATTTATAGAAGAGAATAAAAGGCTCTCCGTGAAGCATGTTGAGTAGAATTGAAGCTGAAGCAAATATTGAAATCTGGGAGCATAAAGAATAGTGAGATTTGATTGTCTCTTAGAAATAATACTAAAAGCAAAGCATCCTGAAAGGATCTAATTTACTTAATCTACCACAGAAATTCCTGAAAACAATCACCCAGATCATTTTGCTTTATCTTTGCTGATATTTGATTGAAGAGCCAGCCTAGATATAGCAGAAAGAACAATTGTCTTAAAAGTAGACAAACCTGAAGTCTTGTCTTGCTACTTACTGCATGTATGATCTTGAGCAAATCACTTAGCTTCTCTGAACTGGTACTATGAATAAGTACTACGAGAAGTAATTTAGTTTATTAAAGATACTTTAAGTGGGCCGGATGTAGTGGCTCACACCTGTAATCCCAGCACTTTGGGAGGCTGAGGTGAGTGAATAACTTGAGTTCAGGAGTTCGAGACCAGCCTGGTCAACACGGTGAAACCCTGTGTTTACTAAAAAATTCCAAAAATTGGCCAGGTGTGGTGGAAGCCCAGCTACTTGGGAGGCTGTGCACAAGAATCACTTGAACCTGTGAGGCGAAGGTTGCAGTGAGCCAAATTCGCACCACTGCACTCCAGTCTGGGCAACAGAGTGAAACATCATCTCAAAAAAAAAAAAAAAAAAAGATACTTTAAGTGTCTTAAAAACAGAAGATATTGGCCATTTTACCTTTACCGTGGTGGAGTCCACCTCTGCTGTGGACCACAAATAGCCCTGTACAAAGAGGAATGGAAATTGCTTCTATCCACCTAGATTCATAAGCTGCCTTGAGGTAATCTTGGCATCAAGGAAGAGAGAGCATTGAGGCACATCTTACCATCAGCTTCAGAGGATGGCAGCCATTGATTTGTCCCATGTTTTTCTTTTTTTTTTCCAAGGGAACCAATCTGCAGTTTTGAAGAAAAGACAAAGGTAGAAAGGGTGGTGGTGGGCTACCTGGCAAATGGTTGAGGGTTCAGTGACCTTTGATGATGTGGCTGTGGAGTTCACCCCAGAGGAGTGGGCTTTACTGGACACAACTCAGAAATACCTGTACAGAGATTCAATGCTGGAGAGCTACAAGAACCTGGTCTCTGTGGGCTGTCAGCTGTTTATACCTAGCCTGACCTCTTGGTTAAAACAAGAAGAATTCAATACACTACAGAGTGGAGTTCTTCAACAATGGGAAATACAACCCACAACCAAAGGGTCATCACTTCAGCAGAGTTTTCTGAAGAATGAAATATTCAATGGGCTACAAATGTTAAGAAGCTACAGGTTAGGGGAACTCTGTGACTGCAAGAATTGTGGAGAGGTCTTTAGTGAATGGTTTTTCCTTAAGACACACATGACAGCTCAGAATGGAGGGAACACTTCTGAGTATAATTGTTATAGAAAAGATGTCCTCACTGTGTACAAGAAAGCCTCTACTGGACAGGAACTTTCCAGATTTAATCCATGTGGAAAAGTCTTCACCCAAACTCCAGGCCTTGCTGTGCATCTTCAAATTCTCAATGCGAGAAAACCCTACAAATGTAAGGAATCTGGAAAAGGCTTTAAGTATTTTGCAAGCCTTGATAATCAAATGGGAATCCACCCTGGAGAGAAACTCTGCGAATTTCAGGAATGTGGGGGAGCCATCACAGCTTCCTCACACCTAAAGCAGTGTGTAACAGTTCATACTGGAAAGAAATCCAAAAAGACTAAGAAATGTGGGAAATCCTTCACTAATTTTTCTCAACTTTCTGCACACGTGAAAACTCATAAAGGAGAGAAGTCCTTTGAATGTAAAGAATGTGGAAAATCCTTTAGAAATTCCTCATTTCTTAATGACCACATTCAAATTCACATTGAAATAAAACCACACAGATGTATGGAATGTGGGAAAGCCTTCACTAGATCAATTCACCTTACTCAACATGTAAGAACTCACGCTGGAATAAAACTCTATGAATGTAAGGAATGTGGGCAAGCCTTCGCTCAGTACACGGGCCTTGCTATATACATGCCAAATCACTGTGGAGAGAAACCCTATCAGTGTAAGGAATGTGGGAAAGCCTTCAATAGATCCTCAACCCTTACTGAACATAGAAGAATTCACACAGGAGAGAAGCCTTATGAATGTGTTAAATGTGGAAAAACCTTCATTACTTCTTCCCATTGTAGGAAACATTTGAGACTGCATAGTGGAGAAAAGCCCTTTGTATGCAAAATATGTGAGAAAGCATTTATGTTTTCCTCAGGGCTTAATGTTCACCTGCGAATTCATACTGAAGAGAAAGTCTTCATTACTACGTAAAGAATGTGGGAAAGCATTTGCTGTTTCCTCACACCTAAGTACACATGAAAGAATTCACACTGGGGAGAAACCTTATGAATACTGGGTATGAGTGTTACCATTTAGCCCATCGGTTGCCATCTTTAATTATTGGCAATGACACAAGAGATCATCAGATTTGTCCTAAATGCCTTGAGGAGGTTGTAATAGCTCATGGATTGGCCTTAGATGCCATCCCAAGGGTCTGGAATTAAACCTACGTGTTCTGAATACAGCTTCTTCATGGTTGCCTGAGTCTGGGCATCTGTGAAAAAGGGTCATGGTTGGTGAGGTCAGTACTGCAGGCTGCCTCACCTTGGTGATTAAATTCCTAGGATCATAGCATTAACAAGTTCTGTATGAGAAAAATCATGCAGATTCGTCCTAGCCCCTGTTGTCTAATGGGCCAGTGTGGCACTTTCATGTCAAAATTTACCGGAAGCCAAGATGATGTAGGCCCTAGAAGTGGCTTGTTAAAAGATGCTTCTCCAAGGGTCTCTTCTGTTCCCATGGATCCTGCAGAGCATGGCAGGAATGACTGCCAGTGCACTTTCACACTGATTATTTCTGGGTTCCCTTCTTGCAAAATCTACGAAGTGTGACAGTCTTGCCTGTTCTGTTCTGTTCTGTTCTGCCTTCTCTGTCCATTTTACATGGCACAATCTAAGTGGCAGTGTCTCCTCTGGTATAATCCAGTCTCTCTCCTCACTTCTGTAAGGATGGCTGATACATTCCCTGAATCCCACTCATGGCCTCTATATAAAATGATTGTTCAGCCATACTTTCAGAATTGTCTTCAGTACAAGTTTCCTAATTTTTGCAATATGGATAGGTGAGAACTTTCTAAATCTCCAAGTTCTGGTTCCTTTTTCCTTAAAAATTTCTTCTGCAAGTTGGATCTCCTCTTTTGCATTTTACTGTAAGCAATCAGGAAGAGTGAAGCTTCCTGTGTCTTTTAACACTTTAATTATAGATCTTAGTGATAAATACCCAATTTTATATCTCTCAAGCTCCACCTTCCACAAGATTCTAGAATACAGTTCTGCCAAGTTCTTCACCACTTCGTATCAAGGGTTAGCATTTCCTCATTCCCCATGAGAATCACCCTTCCCAACCTTATTTCCAGCTTGCACTTCAGAACTTTTCCAGCCTCTATACATTTGCCAGTTTCAAAGCTGCTTCACATTTTTACTTTTGTTTTTAGTTGTAGTACCTCACTTCTCAGTACCAAAATCTGCCCTAGTCAGCTCAGGCCACTATAACAAAATACCACAGACCAAATGGCTTACAAATTCATTTAATTTTAAATAAATGAGGTTAAAAACATATATTCTTACATTTCTGGAGGCTGGAAGTCTCAGATCAGAGTGCCAACATGGTCAACTTTTGGTGAGATATAACCTAATGACTGAAGGGAGATATATATATATATTTCCCAATAATATATATATATCTCAAGAATATATATATTTTATATATATACTTTAAATAAAATATAAAGAATATATATATTTTATATAAAATATAAAGTATATATATAAAAGTATATATATACTTTATATAAAAATATATAAAATATATATAAAAATATATATCTCATGTGAGAGAGATATTTATATATATTTATATACATCTCATATATGAGAGAGATATATAAATATATTTATAAATTTATATATAAATTTATATTATAAATATAAATTTATTTATAAATTTATATATATATATTTATATATCTCTCTCATATATGAGATATATATAAATATATATAAATATATATCTCTCTCACATATGAGATATATATTTATATCTCATATATGAGATATATAAATATATTTGTATATCTCTCTCATATATGAGATGTATATAAATATACATATTTATATATATCTTTCTCATATATGATATATATATATAAGTATATATATATACACATATATATATATCTCCCAAGTGTATATATATATATATATATATATATTCTTGCTTTCTTGCTTTACTGGACTTATTTCAACCTCCAGCCCAACACCAACTCAAAGTAGTAATACCAGCATACTTGTCTTTGTAGTTCTGGTGAGAAATGTGCTCTGTTTTATTGGCTTGGTTGTAGGTTTTTATTTCTCTTTTATTTTTTGAAGAGACTATCTCCTAGCATTAAAGGAAAGGTTTTTTCTTTATATCCAGTTTTTACATGATGAATGATTTCTCAATATTTCATAATTTGTGTGGCTGAATTCCTCTTGAATTTATTAAATGCTTCCTGCACATCTTCTGTGATTATTATGTGTACTTACTGATAAAAATCAAGTACCTAGAACTGCACCTGGCCCATGATGGTACCTAATAAATACTTCAATGAAATTATGCATTGATGCATGTCTACAGTCCTAACTGAGGCAGGAGAATTGCTTAAGCCCAGGAGGCAGAGGTTGCTGTGAGTCAAGATCCCACCACTGCACTCAAGCCTGGGCAACACAAGCAAAACTCCATCTAAAAAAAAAAATCTGATGACTTGAAGAATACCAATTAACAATTCTTTTATGTTGCACATTTAGTGCCTTACATATAATTTAATTAGTAATAATTTAATTAGTATGATTAATTAAAAAGTAAATAATAAGATGCATTTCTAGTATCTTATTCTGTGTTTGTCTCATTGCGTTTCCCTCTCTTCATATTGATCATATTTTTATTTAAATTATTTTATTCTTAATGTTAAAAAACAGAAGATATTAATATTATTGAAATTCTCTCCACCCTAAATAGAGAATAACATATTAAGATCATTAAAATATAAACCAGTAATCAGATCCACGTCAAGGTTTTACTGTGAGAATGCTGTTGATAATAAAGGTGAATAATAATTTCTTGTATGGTGTCTTCTGCTGGTGATGATCTAGTCCAGTAGATTTTCTAACCTACATTTTAGAGTGAATTAGTAAATGATATAATTGCTTTATTGTAGCTCCCAGAACATGAGATAGAACTAAATCAAGAGAAGACCTAGTTATAACTGTAGTAACCTAGGAAGGAGATACAAAAGAGCTTGAATGTGAAGTGGTAAATATTATCTCCTTGGTTCACGGACCCACACTTGGGAAACACTGCTCTAGTGGGAATCTAAATATTTGACTTGCATGGTGATTGTATTATTTATTAGAAGACTTAGTGGAACCTATTGCTTAGAGTGGGATACCCCTCCCAGAACAGTCTGGGAAAATCTCCAGGATGCCAGCCAGGGCACTGAGGAGAGTTTCCAAGGACTTAGGCCACTGCTGCTCCCTCCCTTCCTGGAAAAGAATGCAAAGTGCAGCTTCCATCCCCAGATTCTGGCTATATGCTTCATTAACCATTGTAGGCACCTTGCCCAGTTGTTATTTTAATAAACCTGCTTATGCTCCTCAATTTCCCCGAGAGGACCCATTGGGCCAGCCAGCACTGGTAGAACCTTGAATTTCCCCTCTGGTTGACCCAGGAGCTGTTTGATGAAAGTTCTCCTCATAGTATTAGTGCTGGCTTAGGAAGCTTGGCTTTCTTGCCATTGTAATGAGTATTGTAACTCCTGGCCTCTGTGGGTCAGGCCAACAACAGCAGAGTAGAGTTGATGTGGATTTTGAGGGCGTTATGGGGAGATGACATTTCAGGAAAGAATAATTGACTTAAAGCTATTGCTTTTCTCTGAAAGGCAGGGGGCATGGCAGGACAGAAAGAAAAGAATAATAATCCACATTTGCCCTAAAATCTATTTTCACAGTTTTAACGTACTGCTGTCTAAATTTATGTATATATATAATTGCGCTTCAGTGAATTTATTTCCACTGTGTTTAAGTAGAATTTAAATAATTTATAAATGAAAACTTTTACTGAATCTTTCATCAGGCCTTGGGTACAACCTCTGGGGTTTCTTCACCTTCTAATTTCCCAAGAGAAATAATATCTCCAGTTCCTGTTGATTTTTTGAGCTATTTATTTTATGCTATAGTGTTCTTAACATCATCTGTAAAAAGGTTACCAAGATTTACATTTGGAAGATCAGGATAACCTTCAAATGCATCTGCAGGAAACAACACCCCCCTCCCCTCTATTGCCTCACCCATGTGTCACTAGGAGAAACAGCAGTATTGGAAAAAAAAATTGCTGCTGCCTGTGACCACTATACCCACAGAAAAGGAGTGGGAGAGAAAATACCCATGTGATGGACCAAATCATTCTACCCCCTGCCTTGAGCTGCCTTTTCTAGGAGCCAACTTTCTCTCTTGGGTCCTTGAGAGATGCTTAATTTTAATTGAGCCAGGGGAGTTCTACTTTGTGTTTTGAAAACCACACAGGAATGGGAAGCGAAGGAGTTCTACTCCACCCCCCGCCACCCCAACAGATTTACACAAACAAATTCAAGATACTCACGAGCCTTAAAACAGAATCTCGGGCTGGCATCAGAGGCTAGGTTTGTGATAGGCTCTATGTTTCTAGCAGGCTCCTTAGAATTTAGTGAACCCTATACACACAGAATGGAAATTGTGCTGCAAACTTTGACCTGTGGGTAACCCAGCAGGTATGTACCTCTAAACTGCATTTTCCCCTCTTCATAAATGGCTTTTGAACAATTCAAAGTGGTCACACTTGTGGAAAGGACAGAGTATGCAGTGACAGATTTCATTGCTCCGAAATGCTTCTGCTTTTGTGTGGGGTAGGACACTAAATGTTTCTCCCCAGCTTTCAACAGCACTTCCCCGTCACTGGGTTCCATTTGTCATTTGCTGCTTTCCACATCTTTGTGTTTCATAGCTCATGGAATCTTGGCTTCCAAGAAGTAAATGGACCCAAGAGAGAGTTATATTTTAAGAAACGGAATGATGATCGCTCACATTTTAAGTTAATAATAAAATCTGAATGTAATTGGCCAGATCCTCTTAGCAGGGAGTGGTGCAGCCCGTCCTCAGGCCAACGTGAGAGTTTGGCACTTCTGTGGCATAGAGAAGGCCACCCTCATACAGCCAGGGAGGAATCCACTAAGGACCCTGTGGCCAGGAGAAGTTTAAACACTGGGAAGTTTCTGTGAGCTGAGAGGGCAGACAAGGGCTGCGAAGGTGGAAACGAAGAGTTGTTTGTAGAGTTAAACAAACTGGGGAACATCATAGCATACGTAGCTTTCCTGCCTTAAAAAATGCCCTTTCAACCCTACTCTTCTCTAGCTACTACCTTCCCTCCTTCTTCCCTTTTGCAGCCAAGATTTTAAAAGAGTGAAAATTCCTGTCCTACTTCTTTACCTCCCATTTACTCCCTGATTTGCTTCTGTTCAGTTTCTATTTCTTTCCCTTCAAAAACTGCTCTCATCTAGATCACTGATGACTTCCTTGTTGAGAAAAGCAAAACAACAGAAGCTTTACAGTTTTTGAATTTAACCTTTCTGTATACACTTTGATTCTGTGACACTACTCTCTTATTATTATTATTATTTTTATTTTATTGATTTATTTTTGAGACCGAGTTTCGCTCTTGTTACCCAGGCTGGAGTGCAATGGCGTGATCTCAGCTCACCACAACCTCCGCCTCCTGGGTTCAGGCAATTCTCTTGCCTCAACCTCCTGAGTAGCTGGGATTACAGGCATGCGCCACCATGCCCAGCTAATTTTTTGTATTTTTTTTTAATAGAGACGGGGTTTCACCATGTTGACCAGGATGGTCTCGATCTCTTGACCTTGTGATCCACCTGCCTTGGCCTCCCAAAGTATTATTATTTTTTATTCTTCTTTCTCTGGTTGTTCCTTCTTAGTCTAAGAGGTCTTGCTGCTCCATTCCACAGGAATCCTTCCGCAGTCTCTTCTTCATATTCTATCTACTCTTTCTAGGGAATCCCAAGCATTTTCCTAGCTTCAAACGTCATTCACATGTCAACAAATTCTTAAATCTACATTGTTAGCCCAGTTTTCTTTCCTGAGTTCTAGCCTCCATGCAGCTTGTTTTCTCCTGAATGTTTCTTTTTGTACAGAATGTTCCGCAACCAACGCAAATTCAACGTGCCCAGCCACCCCAGCTTGTTTTTCCTTCTTTCTTACCTTTTTCTGGTAAGTGCCATCATGATACCCCAAGGCACACAAGCCAGAAAACTTGGTTATCTCCTTTGTTAATACTTTCTACTTTGTCGCCCCGCTTCAATATTTCCCCCCATGGTCTCTTCATACAGCAACCAGATTTGATTTTAAAGAGTAATTCAGATTTTTATCAATCCTTGCTTAAAAGTTTCCAATGGCTTTCCATCACAAACAAGATAAAATCCAGACTTTTTACTACGGCTTACAGAACCCTGCCTAGTCTGGCTTCTGTCTTGCTCTCTACCCTCTCTCTCACAACCCCCCCTTTTGTTCACTGTGCATCCAAGACCTTGGCCTTCTTTCTATCCCTCACCTACCTCAGGGCCTTTTGCTGTTTTATTTTCTGGAGTATTCCAACTCCAAATCTTTGCATTACTAGCTTATTCTTCTGGGGTTGGTTCAAATGTCGTCTTTCCAGATAGGCCTCTGCTGATCATCATCCTAGTGAATTCAACACAACTCTTCCTGCCTACTCCCACCCCTCCTGCTGTTTTGTATTATACATTGGAATTTTCATGATCTGAAATTATCTTGTTTGTTTATGTTTTCATTGTTTGTCCCTCTTTCTAGAATGTAAGTAAGCTCTATGGAAGCATACATTGCTTTATTTATCACTGTATCTCTGTTAATTTGAAGACAGTCTGGTACATAGAGGGTGGCCAGCAGTAAATATTTTTTTTTTTAAGTAGAAAAAAACAAACAATGTTCTTAGATCCTGAGTTTCAGCCAAACTGCCTGCAGTTCCCTAAACCACAAGCAGTTGTTGTACAATCTGCTTTCTCTGCTTCTAATGTTCTTCTCTTTCCTGTTTTTCTGTTCAACTCCTGCTTATCCTTCATACCAGATTTTGTCACCTCCTCCAGGAAGCTCTCTTTGATCACAGGAGTTTAAGATTTAGTGCCTCGGATAAACTTCATAGCAGGTATGCAATTACCAGGTAATTTTTTGTTAATGTATCTGTTTCTCTCATTAGCTTAACTTCTGGCAGAGATGATATTTTATTTGTATCCCTAGCCCAGTGGTAGTCTATAAAAATGTACTCTAGAAACTACTTAAATATTTTGTTGAGTTATTTGCTAAGTCATAGACTCCTTTGATAATGTAAATTAGCTGTCTACTAAGTTCTTCCATCTGCCAAGTTTTGACTTTACACATTGGAGTTTTAAAAATACAGGTGCACACACAAACTTACTCACAGAAAAGGCTCAGATTCCCACTAAACTTTTCTGTAATAAAAATAACATTAAAGATGATATTGACAGTATATTGTCTATTATATGCCATGCATCTTTGATATACCTTATTCACAAGTAACTCTTCAAGGTATAGATATTATTCTCATTTTACACACATGAAAACTGAGCCTCAGATGTAGTAATCTGTTCAAACTCATACACCTAGTAAAACAAAGCTGGGATTTGAATCCAGGTCTCTGATTTCTAAGCGCAAGCTCTTTCTGTTACACCATGCCGCCCCCTATGGGACAAGTCCACAAATCTGGGCTATTTATTAAAAATATTATTATGAAGCTTACAAAATTGGAGCCCTTACAAACTACAGAATCAAGAAAGATGCTTTGAATTGCCACTACTATAATTAATTAGAAAATGGCACTAGTCCTAGCATGGCTGGGCAAGAGCTTTTTACTGCCTTTACCTATATGCTTTCTTCTGCTTAAAGCATAGAGGTATTTTGTAGAAATTTATATTAACCCAGTTATGTTTTTGCTGTCAGACTTAATACCCAAGGGTGGAGATGAGCTTTGCTAGGTATCTTCTCCAGGTTGTTTATAAGTTCATTATAGCCACGATAAGCCACTTCCATGGACTCGGTTTCAGGATTCTGGTTTATCCAAGGTTCCTCTCTTTCCCACATTCCACTCTAGCACATTGTGCTATGTGGATGGGAAGTTTTTCCTGAACTCTCACCCAGGTTGGGACCTGCTTCCTGCCTCATTCTTGTCAGATGCTATTTAATAGAGGTTGGGCCTGTTCTCCTGCCTTAGTTTGAGTAGGCCAGATTCCCTTGGCTTGTGAGGCCCTCATCTGGCATCACAGCAGTCCCCATTCTGCATCCTTGAAGGCTTATCCCTACTCTGTATCTTTTTGCATCTTGTAAGTGTGAGCTAGAACTGGAATGAATCTTCCCTGCCCCTAAATGGCATCAATTTTGGCTGCTGCTCTAGTTTCCTATTCCTCTACTGTTCTGATTTTGTTTCCCCTATGCTCTTAGACTTTTACCCCTGAGCAATGTTTTCAACCACTTTGTGGAGCCAATGCCTCAGCACAAAAGTCCTCATCAGTGGAGAGAGGACCAAACGTCCAGGGACTGAACAACAGAACTTCAGATCTCATTGCTTACCACTCACTGCCTTTCTTCTGTGCATCTCTGGGGATGGGGGTGGGGACGGAAGACAGTCTATATGTGATGATGATGTAGAATTGATCTTCTTTAGGTTCTGTTCATCAGAGGGGTCTATCAGCTTAGTGATGGGCAAGCCAGAAACTGGTTGTTTGTATCTTGCATACTGTAGAGCATCCATGATCCATCTCATTTCACGCCAGACTTCATCAATTTGCTTTAGAATGAAATGGTAAAAGACACTAAGTTATCAAGCAGTGATTAAAAAGGAATACCTTTCCCTGAGAGTCCGAGATGATCCATTTTCCACAACATTGGTTTTGAGCGAGAGTAAAATATTTTTAACATAGGTTTTTCAAGCCACAACATATTTTTTTTGGGGGATAATATTTTGTGTTTTGCATATTTTTAACCTGAGAGGCTATGTCATTTAGGGAAAATGTGGAAGAGTTGGATACTAGCTGGTATATACCACTTATTAACTCTATAATAACTCTTAGCAAGTCACTTGACCTTTTGGAGCCTTAGCTGCTTTACCTGTAAAATGTGGCCAAAACATTTTCCCTTTATACCTCCCAGGGTTGCTGGGATGATGAGTTGAAGTGATGAACTTGAAAGTGCTTTGTAATATTGTGGGGTACGTTGCTCACACATATAAAGGGTTATAATCTCTCAGATTACAATTAAATATTCCTCATTAAGATTGTGAAGGCATATGATAACGTCTGAATTTCAGAATATCTTAAGAAAGAAATGTAGCTCTAGTTCTTATATGTGAACTAGAAAAGCAAAGCTGTACTGGAATATTTTTGTTAAGTAGAGGGTTTTGGACCTTTTTTTTTTTTTTGGACAGAGTTTTGTTCTTGTTGCCCAGGCTGGAGTGTCATGGCACGATCTCGGCTCACCTCAACCTCTGCCTCCTGGGTTCAAGCGATTATCCTGCCTCAGTCTCCCAAGTAGTTGGGATAACAAGCATGAGCCACCATGCCCAGCTACTTTTCTATTTTTTTTTTTAGCAGAGATGGGGTTTCTCCATGTTGACCAGGCTGGTCTTGAACTCCCGGCCTCAGCTAATCCGCCCGCCTTGGCCTCCCAAAGGGCTAGAATTACAGGTGTGAACCACCACGCCTAGCTTACTACTTTCTTACATAAGGAGTAAGTGCTTCTAAAGCACAAAACAGCCTAAACAGCTTATTCTTAAATAATTTAAACATCTTTATATTTCTAGGGTGGTCCATTTTAGATTGTTACATTTTTATTTTTGGTTTACCAAAGCCATTTTAATGACATTTTCATCATAAAGTACAATAGCAGTTTCCTTGAAACTATTTGCATAAAATTCACTCAGACTTTTGTGTGTCTTTCTATAAAGATGACAAAAGTTTCCCAGATCTTGATAGACACTGGCCATGAGCTTTCTCATTGTTCTATCTCAAGGAGGGGCTATTGGTGAAATGTATTTTTTTTTTTAATGACCCTGGAGTTTGTGGTCAGCTTTGTATTTAATTTCACTGGATGACCTCGGCAAGCCATTAACTGCTTTGGGCCCATTTACTCAACTGCAAGAAGAGGCAGTTAGTCCACATGATGTCTAAGGTCGCTTCTATTTCTGAAACTTTACGATTTATCTTTGAGGAACATTGGAAATTTGGTGTCACTTAACTTCCAGATAGAAGGTGTTCATTATATGAGTAATGCAAGGTTAATCTCTCTCTGATTGTGGAAGTTTTAAAACTAAAACACTACCCAGTGTTAAATTTTGTTTTCAAAATTTCTTCATAGGTCTTTAATCTGTACTTAAAACCTGCTCATTAAGACTATCCACAGACCTGGCCCTCCAAACAAACACGGAGTAGGTCTGAAGGTGTGACATTCGGTCCGCCACGTTGAGTGAAAAGCTAGCTAGCATGAACTAGTGAATGCCAGTGTATGGTCTACAGCCGTTTGCCTTTGCTTTCTAGTTCTCATCAGTCCCGTGGTGACAAGACTCAGCAGAGTATTCAGGGCCGGTGATGAAAGCACGAGATTGAGCTTCAGGCTTTTTTAGCTTGGTCAGTTGGGCAGGAAGTTCAGCAGTGGGCTGGCCCATGAGGAGGCACTAAGTCATTCTGAAGGGAGAAATCTAAAGTCGGGATAAAGCCAAAGTGGGAATCCCAGATGAGACTCAGATGAAGTTTCCCATTGAGATTGCTGTTCTCTCAGCTGGCTTTTACTGTGCCTACCTCTTGCAGCACAAGCTTGTTGAAAGTTATTTTAAAGGCACCGCATGACTGTGGACAGCTGTTAGAGGGCCTGACAAGGACAGGGATTGTGTTTTTGTTGTTTTTGCTTTTAGCTTTGCAGAGTAGGTATGATTAAAAAAAAAAATGCCTATTTAATGAATGAAGGAATGATCTAATTCTTCAGCTCTCTACTTGCAAACAGAGTTATTACAAGGATTAAGTAAGAAAATGTGGATGAGTGTGTTTTATCAACTATATATTGCTATAAAATTTTCAGTTTTTATAGTGACAATCATGATTACTGTATATGGAACCCCCCCAAGATACATTCATATCCTAATCTCCAGAACCTGTGAATATTATCTGATATGATACAAAGTAAATATTACTTTATATGGCAAAAAGATATGATTAAACTAAGGATTTTGAGAGGAGGAGTTTAACCTGGATTTTCTGTTTGGATTCTAATTCTAAGAAGAAATGCCCTCATTAGGACATTATTATAAGAATGAGGCAGAGGAAGATTTATCAGACATAAGAGAAGGAGCCAATGTGACTATAGAAAGAGACATTGAAGTGATGTGGCCAGAAGTCAAGGAATGCCAGCAGCCACCAGAAACTGAAGAGGCAGAGATTAGATTCTCCTCTAGAGCCTCCAGGGGGAGTGTAGCCTTGACAACACTTTGATTTCAAACTTCTGGTCTCTAGCGCTGTGAGGAAATATATTTCTGTTATTTTTAAACCCAGTTTATGGGAATTTGTTACAGCAACCCTAGGAGGCTAATATAATTATTAATAAATAATCTACCTGCTCTCTTTGGATAAGATTGTTTCAGCTTTATTGCTGAGGATGAATAGAGGGATTTAGTGTAGAAATTTTTTTAACAAGTAGGTAGAAACAATATTTACTTCTTAATTTTTCTCAGTGATGTGAAGAGGTCTTAGCTGAAGAAAGATTTTAAAAACCACATGGGTGTAGGGAGACCTGTGGATTGAGTTTAATGAGACTTCGCTAATTGCTCCAAAAGAAGGCCAGTTTTCACCCATTTTACCTTATACTGTTGATCTAAAAGTAACTGACAACATAATCCCCCTGATTTTGAGGTCCAAATTCACCTTCTAAAGACTTGCTGACACATTTTAAAAAAGAAAGACCATGAACTCTCTAGGTCTGTTGATTAAAAGTTCTGCATCCATTTCTCACCCTGCCCTTTAAAAATTTTGGATTTCATCACATAAATTATACTCCTTTCTCTGTACTCAGGCAAGATAATATTTTTATTAAAATGTAAAGGTGATTGGTTTTCTCACAGCACAGCTACAAGGTGCTCGAGGGGATGATAGATTGGCTATATTTAATGAGCTGTGTTTCTATTACAGCTTAGGAGCATTTGAAGCATTACAGTATATAAATTATAGCCTAATTGCCCTTTAGGTTTTAGCAGCTCCAAATATGCCAAGCTCCATGTCTTCACACTTTGACATTTCTGCTGCATGTGCTGTCTATAAAGCCTGTATACCTTATCTATGATTTTCTGTGCCGCCCTTGGTCCAGCCCTCCCCCTCTCTGGCTGCGCTCCTTGGCTTCTTTTTCTAACGGTATTCACACAGACTCCCTTGCTCTTTACAATGTTTGGTTTGTATAGTGACTTCAACACTCTCTTAGATCTGGAATCGTACAAATGCTCTCACAACTGGCGGTCGCCTCTGCAGGTTATGGTGTATGGTGGGCTGAGCTGTGAACACCAATGGGTGAGTGGCTACAGCTGGTTTTCATTGAGAGCGAGAGAGAAAGAGAGAGAGAGAGAGAGAGCAAGCACAAGCACATGCAGCAGATGATATTGAATTATCTCCACTCAGTGAAGTTATCCATGTTGGGAAGAGAAAGGTGGTTCATTGAAGGCTTTGGGTATGGGGAGATGGTCTTGTTTTATTCTGACCAAGAAGTTATATTTTGAACCCTTTGAGAACTGGCTTTTATCCAAGTCTGTGTGTACCTGGCTTACTGGAAGGGAAGCATGTAGAGGGGGCTCTCAAGTTACCTGCTTTGGGAGACCAGAGCAGGCTAGAACTTTGAAGAATTCCCAGCCTGGCCTGCCTTTATCCAGCCCACTTAATGGTGTGATATAAAAGAAAGAGAAAAAGGCAGTGGAACCCTAGGCCACATGAAAAAGAAAGGAGCGAGAGTGGCAGTCAGGGAGTAGGAATGAAGCCAGGGAACTCTGGGAGGAGTTTGAGACCACAACAGACTGAAGAAAGTCAGCCTCCTGGTTGGATGAACATACTGGATTCAGGGAGGCATAAGTGGAATAAGGCAGAAACAGAACCTAAGGCATGGGTAGAGAAGCGCTCCTCTAAAAATATCTCTGGTTGTTAAGTCATAAAATGTTAGAGCCAACTAGACCCAAAGATGTCATCTAGTCCAGTCCTTTCATTTTACATATGAGGAAGCTGAGGCCCCCAGAGATTGAATGAATTGTCCAATACTCCAGGGTTTATCAGAAGATTTGGGACTAAAAATGTGTGCTTTTTGACTTCTTTTTATTTTTTATTTTTATTTAATAGAGATGAAGTCTCACTGTGTTGCCCAGGCTGGTCTTGAACTTCTGTGCTCAAGAGATCCTCCCATCTCAGCCTCCCAATCTCCTCTGGGACCAACTTCTGATCTGTTGTTATTCTTACTATGCTCCACCATCCCTTATATGGGTTCAAAAATAAGCCAGTCCTTCGTAATCTCCTCATCCTGCATTCTTCCTTTTCCCGCCCCTTCCCCACCATCTATGTTCCATTTTTACTGGAAATGAAATCAATGAAGTAAATGATTTACATTTTTAAATTCTACATTCTCAGGCCAATGGAGAAAGTAACTTCCTGAAAGTTATTTCTTTATTCTGAGACGTCTCCTAAGATATCTCATTCACAGTATGAGGAAAGTAGGATAATCCTAAAGATTTGTCTGATTGACATTTTGCAAGTAAATTACAATATTTTCTTCCTATTTTAAACACCTTGAATCTCGCATATTCATAATCAAAGAGTTTCTCATTCTTGTGAATGAATAAATGAGTATATAATTTATTACATGCTTACTACGTGCCAGGCATTTTGCTGAGTGTTTTATATGCGTTATCTCATTGAATTCTCTCAGGAACATTATGAGGTAGCCCTGTTATTATCAACCCTACTTTACAGATGAGGGGACTGGGACTGATTGGGACTAAGAGAGATTTGTTTGCCCAAAGTTCACAGCATTTCTTCATCTTAAGTCCTCATTACATCTTGTCTGGATAGTTATCACAGCTTCTTATCTGCTTTCCCTGCCTTTAGTCTTCTCCTCAAATCCTTATTTGGTGAGCATGACCAATCAGAGTGAATGCTTACAATAAACAACCCATATGGCTGTACCAATGTACATGGGGAGAATACCCTCCCTGCTTGAATCCATCCTAAACAGAGTTGTGAGAGCCTGTAACTTAACTTTCTTCAAAACTTTGGGTATTTCCCTGTTTTAAAGTACAAATTTCTTATCCGTGGCTTTTGATAAAGCCCTTGTGATCTGCTATCATTGCTATCTTTCATTCGTGCCTAATTTCTACCTCTCATCACTCAATTTATGCCCCAACCAGTCTTGACTACTTATCATTCCCCAAATACTATTTTTCTGCTCTGTCTGCCTTATCTGTTTATGCTTTCTCTTTGAATGCTCTACATTCTATTTCACCTCACTGTAGTTTAACCCGTCCTTGTAGGCCAAGCTAGCTATCAACTACATCCTCCATGGGAACGTTTACAATACAAGTGAAAGTAAATTTTTACTTCCTTGTGTTGACACAGAACTTGTTTGTTTGTTTTGTTTTGGTATATCTTTTTTGGCACCTAACACATTTTACAAATAGTATTTACATGCACATTCCTTACCTACCCTGATGGATTTTAAACTCCTTAAGATCAGACACCATGTTTAATTCAACTTTATATCTTGCATACAGTGCCTGACACCTGGTTGTTTAATAAAGATTTATCCAATTGAACTGAATATGTATCAAAGTGATATTTATCATGGGGCTGTTGCTATTCTAACTCCTTTTGTGAACTCAGTAACTGATGGACAGAAAGATTGAAAGATTGGCTAAGGGATTCAGAGAGAACCTCAGGCCAGATCCAAATTCTCTTGACTTCTAGTCAGTACCCCTTTCACAAGACCCTAAGGTGTCACCATAGGCTTTTTCAGACAAGGTCATGGGCAGGGAACACAATTTCTGATCTTGACAGCCATATGTTAAAGTGTCAATTCTGTTAAAAAGAAGCCCAAAACATGAGGAATTATAGTTCTAATTGGATTTGGGTTAACATAAACTGGCAGGTCGTTTTCTTTTTCTCTGAGATAGTGAGTTAATTGATACAATTTTTCTTTCCATTGGAATTGTCAATGGGCTACAAGGTAAGAATAATATTCTAGTTACTGTTTCTGGGGGGTGATTTTTCTCTCCAGTATGGAAAGCTACCACTAGCTACCATGGTGACTGATTAGAGTTCTTAGTAATATTGTGATTTATCTGTAACTTTTTCTTAAGTCTTTGTTTGGAAACTGATCTCCCTGAGCTCCACATTTTAACCAACTCAATAGGCTACTTACACACTGTGTTCTTTGAATCAGCCTGGACTGTTGTCCTTTCCCATGAGTGGCTTTCACCCCGTCCACCCTGCCTCTTCTCCCTTCCTCCTACCCCAGAAGAAACAATTACCTGAATGAAATCTAAAACTTGCTGGTGTCTTTGTTTGGCAGCTGCAACCTCGCTGTCTGAGATCGCTTCCCTGAGGGACTGTTGGGTATTCAGAGAATCCAGCTCCACAACAGCAGAAAGACGGCAATACAGACTAATAAATTTCTCTCTGTAGCTGCAAAAATGAACTGGAAAATGGACAAGCAAAATAAAACATGTTAAGATCTGGTATCAAAATAGAGAAATTCATACCTCAGAGAAAACAAGTTGAATGAAAACATGATTTATTAATCCTATCAGTGGAAAATATTAAGCCATAAATAAATTATAAATGTGCTCTTAAGGGGCCAGTTGTCTGGCTTTAGTCAGACAGTATTCCCTTTTAAGGTTTACCAACTCCTAGTAAGGTATGGGGAAGTGGGGTTGGCTAAAGCTGCAGTTATGTAGACTTTCCCTAAAGTTGGGGCTGATGTGTGTGTGTGTGTGTGTGTGTGTGTGTGTGTGTGTGTTTGTGTGTGTGTGTGAGTATGCACACATATACATACACATACTGGGAAAATAAGCTTGCTTATCACTTTAAAGAAAAAAAAGCCAAGTAGCAATTTGTAACCTAGTTTTGGTTTTCATGTCTGATTTCCAATACGGATCTTGCTTGCTCCTTTCCAAGGCCAGAACCCCCAGAAGACAGAAGAGATGCTTTTCTCAGAGTGTCTTTGGTCTGACTGCAAAACTTCCCCAAGGGCCTACTATGATAGGCTTTGATCCTCTTCTGCCTCTCCCCCTCTTAGCCCTGCTGGATGGATGAGAAGAGCTGTTGCCTGGACAGGCCATTTTTTTTTTTTTGTCTTCAGCAGGGTTGGCCTTCCTCTCTAAACAGATAATGGGACAGAGGCCACAGGAGAGTCCAGCCTTCATGTCCATCATTTTCCTTCTTCAGGAGGAGCAGAGCAGTGTAGGATTGAGCCTGGTGCAGACAGCTTGGGATGGTCAGATTTCCTATGCTTCTCTGACCAGCTCTGATCATGTACCATAACTTTGTATTCTAGTAGAATGAGAAAAGCACCCTGATTCAGACTAGCACAGTACTGGTTTCTTCCTGGACAGTATTGAATTTGGAGACTCATTCTTCAATACCCTCTTTTTCTCTGTTGACCTCTGTCCTGTACCAGTGTGTTCCATGCTTTGGAAATAGGGCTGTTACAACTCAACAAGTCTGTTGAAACATTTTTATTCTGGCTTCTTTAGTGAGGAATTCTAGGAAGAACATCTAATTACAGGTAGTCATTACAGGTAGTAATTAGATGTTGATTCCTGAGACCCAGGTCTGGCCATTTAGGGAAGCTAAAACCACACTACCTCAAAATGGGGTACTGGTCATCTCTCCACCTCAATGAGGAAGCCCTACTTCTCTGCATACTGAGAGATTTCTGTGCATCCTACAATTCCCATGTTACCACTGCCTACTACTTCCTTGCTTTTTTTTTCTTCTGAGGATAAATCTTAGGTGAATGCCAGGGCAGTGTGCTCTGTCTTCCCTCCCATGGAAGTGGAAGAGAAGAATGGGGTGAGGGTGTGAGGGGCCCATCCTTACTTCAGCTATGCCTCATTTCAAGGAGGTGTTTCTCAACTCAGGAGCCCTCTGCCCTGGGTTTGATTTTTCTCTGTGGTGTCAGATCCTTCCTTCTTATCTTCTCTGCTCTGTTTGGCACTCTTTTTTTTGCCTGACACAGAGAACTGATTTCATATGCCCTGTCCGTAAATGACAAACTATGGAGCGTCTCCCAAATGACCTAATTCTCATATTATTTCCCTGCTTAGACTTCTACAGAGCTCCCTCTTGACCTAAGGATAAAAATCCAAACATCTCTCCCTATAAGGAAAGCTCCCTGTGATCTAGGACTTGAGTATATTTTCAGTCACGCCTTCCCTCATGCTGCCACCTTCCAGCCCCAGCCCCTCGTCACCCCTAAGCTTTGGTCAAGCTGAACGTATTACGAATCCTTTTATACTTCCATGCCTTTACACATGCCTTTTCCTCATCCTCACATGCTTTTCTTTACTAATACCTCCAGGTCAATTGTGATACTTGAAGACTCACCATAAATGTTTTCTTCTCAGTGGGGTTTTCACTGACATCTCCCTGGCAGGTGGAACTAGCTTCTCTCTCTTTTATGCTCCTAGCGCACTTGCTTCTAAACATTTCCTGACATGTATCCTACTTCATTGTACTTGTGTGTTTTCTTGACTGCCTTGGCATTAGATTGTGATTTCTCCAAGGGCAGAAACTATGCCTCCTATTAATTTTTCTTTCCTTGAAACCTGGAACATTGTAGCTTCTTAATTAAGGTTTACTGACCAAATGAATAAACAAATAAATGCATGAATGGATCTGAAGAGGCAGACCCTTAACCCAAAGGCTCCTCTTTCCTTCATTGTCTTTCCTTTACTGTGGGCTTGATTTTCCTGTTTTGAAAGGTGTTTCAGGTCTACGATATTTCCTGGCAGCTCCACAGGAAGGAATCACCACGACTTTTTAGCTTATTCTTGACCCTGGTAGCTCCCTGAATGTGTCTTTATGCCTTTCAAGGAGGGATTATGTCCTGTTAGCACTTGACAGATGTCCTCTTTTGGCTGGAAAGTGACGAGAGTGAAGTGTCTCACACCCTGCCTTTCTAAACCAAGTGGTAAAAACAAAACAAACAAACAAATGAAAAAACACATTGGCTTTTTTCCCTTTTCTAAAATATGACTGGAAAAATAGGGAGAAACACTGAATAGCTTCTTTAAAAGAAGGACTATCAGCCTGATCTGAATTCTTACAAGCCAGGGTGTTCACAGCTTTCTCTTGTTGTGTGTCTGTGGTGGGAGCCTCGGATCAGTGGGTGGTCTCACAGCACCCACACTGTCCATGCCAGCACCACAAGTGAGTTATGAGGAGGTTTCAACTATAACGCTTCAGTTTCACTGCTCTTGTGGTTTTTTTTTTTTTTTTTTTAAATCCAGACCCTTTAATGTTACTTTAACAAATGTTACTTTAACATAGTCTTTTGTGGTTTAGCAATGATATACTTGGTAGCCATAACTGAGGCAAAGAAGATAGGCTGGAAGCTTCTAATTTTTAAAAATGTAAATCTCATGCATTCTATAGATAAAATGGTATAAGGCTACAATAATGTCATTAGCTGGACCACATGATTTGTTAGTAATTCACAGACTAAGACTAATTTTCTGCGGTATTTTTCTCCCTCTTTTTTCTATACAAGATAGTGGCAGACTAAAATAAGGTTGGCATCAACACTAGGAGTATAGTAGCGTGGAAATTACATGGGCTTAGCTCTCTTACGGACCTGGGTTTGAACCATAGTTCTGCCACTCACCACCTGCGTGACAGTGGGCACGTGATCTCTGGGCGCCTCAGAGGTCTTCTCATATCATATGAGGTTTTTGCATATTGAAGACGGATTATAATGCCTACCTAGGATTAAGTAATACAATATATATAAAGTGTGCAGCACAGCATATGGCACATACTCAATAAAAAAATAAATGTTTGTTCTTCCACCACACCTTTTTACTACCCTGAAAGAATGACGCATTTAGTGGTTAGAATATTAGAAGAGGACCGGGATTAAAATATTCTTCCTAAGGATCTCCAACTCACTAAAACCCTAATCAGTCTGGGCCATGTGGCCTAGTGTGGAAGCCAGGGAATCAACGAGAAAACTTCCTGCGGTCAGTTTAGGTCCACGAGTCTTTGCCAAGGTGTCAGAAAGAACTGGGGCACAAGGTGTCCTCTAAAGATTACTAGTAGTGAATGAGTTGACAGGTGGAATAAAGGAATGGTCTCTTAAATCATGCAAAATTGGTAACAGGAATGAAGGTTGAGACTATGCCATGTCTTGCAAGCCTGTGGCCTGGATTCCATTAGGCTCACTGCCTGGATATTCCATAGGTTCCTCCTGGAAACTCATCATTTGTCATACTGACCTCCTCATCATTCTCCTGCCCCAAGCCTGTTCCTCCTTCCTATGGCCCATTTTGGCAGATGGTGACATTATCCATCTCGGCACTCTAATTCAGACTCTCTGGCTCCTTCATCTTGCTCTTCAACCACATGAAATCAATCACAAACTTCCATCATTTTAACTCCTAAATTCCACTTGCCTCTCTGCTCTCTTCACCAAGGCTGCCTTGGTTTGGGCTCTTATCATTGCCCAAATGATCAGTGGATCTGTGAGGTAGTCTCTTAATTGCTTGTCTCATCATATCCAATGTCAGCCTGATTTATTTGTTTTTTACTCTTTTGCAGTCAGTCCTCCATGAGCTGCCAAAATCTAATAAGACCACATCATCACTTTTCTTAAAATCTTTTCTTTGCTTCCTATTGCCTATGGAATAAAGTCTTACCCCCTTAGTGTCACATAAGTAGCCATGTATGATTTTGATCTTTTAAACATTTAGCTTCACCCTCGGTTGCTCTTCCTCAGATGCCTTAGGCATCCATCACAATGAGCTACTAAGAGTGTACTTAATCAGGTTGCACTTTCCCAGGTCTCTGAGTCTTTGTACATACTGCTCCTTCTGCTTAAAATGATTTTTCTTTTCTGCTCACCTTTTCTTTCCCATTCTGAATGTTTGTTTATCCTTCAGGATACAGCTCAAGTATTATCTCTGCAAGGAAGAATTAGGTGTCTTTCCTTTGAAACTCAACAGCCTGCCTCTTATAGCAGTGCTTTTGTTTTATGAAGACTATCGGCAGGGATACCTGTATCCTCTAATGGATTTTGAGCTTGTGATGGGCAGATTGTGCCTTATTAACATCTGTGTGGTTCAGTCCCAGCACAGTTACTTGGCATATAGCAGAAGCTCAGTAAATGTTGAATGAAGAATGTAGCCAAGCACAAGCCCAGTTTGAAATATATACCAGGCCTCAAACTATTATTTTTAAAAAATTCCTTAGTTATTTTTTTGTCTTTCTAGTCCAATTGGTTTAAATAATAAAGCCAAGGAAATCAATAAAAACCAGCTTTCCTTATAAGCCTGCTGTCAGTTGTGAGCACCCACAAGGTCAGGGCAGGGTGACCTCTTCTGTGCAGGCTAGGCAAGTCCTCAAGAGGCCACGTCACCTGATAGAGTTTCTAAGGGCTCATGATGCTGCTTTTCCTTCTGTTCCTGGGAACTTCGTAAATAGGGATGTTTGTAGGCCCCCAGGAACATGCTTTATTACTGCAAAGAGGTCCTATCCTGCTCCCACCCAAAGGATGGTAGAGGGTCAACTCTCAGGCTGTGGAAAGAGGAGTGGGTTTTTGGTGAATCTGCTTCGCCCTAGCTCAAACCTCCTCATCCAGGACTCACAACATCTTCCAATAGGACAATTTCTCTTGACCCCATAAGTGATCCTGTGAAGGAATAGCCCGTGGGTTTGCCATAGTCTAGTCCTTATTCCAGGAGACAGAGAACTAAACTCCTTTATCATTTTGTCGTTGCTAGATCTGTACCGTGCTGGAATAGGCACAGATGCAGTTTCCATAGCTGGTCAGCAAGTTATTTATGATTCACTTAGGCTACCGGCAGGAACAAGGTCAGTTTGCCAAATCTCAAATTCCTTCATGGGGACAGGGATGACTTACACAAGTCACACTGAAATATAGTGCAACCCTTTATTCTATTCTAATTTACATATTCTCATAATTCACACCTTTTTAAGTTTCATTAGAATTCCCATGTGGTTATTAAAATTTTCTGAGTTCTGACTGAATTCCCAAAAACATTCTCTCCTTTCTCAGAAATGCTTAGTGTATCTCTTGACCCTTTACTATGAAACTACCTGTGAATGGAATTTCTTACTTATAGAAAAAATAATGCTTAGCATCTTTCTTAGAGAGGCTTAGGTCCACTGTAGCAAGCCTTTGGAAGTTCCTATATAGGGTGTCATTAAATGCTTAGTGGGCTGATGCCTAATGGAGGAAGTAGTTAAGATAATCGTCCTCTTGGAGAGCTCTGATTGCTTGGGGATAAGATAGAGTTCGTCATGATTCTTATTAAGACCAAGACCCAGAAATGTTTTCAAAACTGCTGGTGGTGCTCAAGTACAATAATCATTGTATTAGAGAGTGTATTAATTTTCTGCTACTGGCAGCATTTCCTCCAGTCCCGAAAAGAAGACTAATAGAATTATGTATGCCAATGGAGCCAAGCCCAACCAAGCGGTCTTTTCTGGAAACTTACATGGTCCTCATTAATCAGTTGGATTACCAATGATATGGCAACAAGGGAGGACCAAGAAGGAGAGAAAGTACGTCTTAATCTAGGAAAAACCATCTTAAAGTAAGGCTTTGATCTGTGGCCTGTTTTTCATAGATGGAAGATAGTATCTGATGCTCTCATATTGCTTCTAGAAATGTGAAGAGGTAAACAGGTAAAAAGGACAGGCACAGTTGAATTTGGCTGAATTCCTGTGTTAACCACGTCTCTAGTTTTGTATTTATGTATTCATTTCTTTGTCATAGGCAATACTACTTAAAATGTGGTCCATGGATTGGCAGCATTAGTATTACCTGAGAACTTACTAGAAATGTAAATTTTCCAGCCTCCTGCTGAGCCTACTGTCTCAGCATCTCTGGGGCTGGGCTCCAAGAATCTGTATTTTAACAATCTCTCCAAGTGATTCTTACGCAGGTTACAATTGGAGAAGCATTTTTCTAGGGCCACCATATCCCAAAGTATATGTTCTGTGGATTATTAACAGGTCCCTTGCAAAACATTGCTCTAGTTACAGTGAAATGAATTTGGAAATGCTGAGTTAAACAAAGTTAAGCTTTTAAAAAATTTAAAAAATTTTTATTTTTTAATTTTTTAGGGGGATGACTGCTGGATTTTGCAGAGCTTTTCATGTTACTCTACTGCTCAAAATCTTTCCTTGGATTTCCAACATACGTAAAGTAAAATCTAAATTCGTTATCACGGCCTGTGAGGCCCTGCATGGTCTAGCTCCCATGACTCTCTGACCTCATCTCCTTTCTTTGTCGCTTTTGCTTACTACACTCCAGGTATGGAGAACTCTTAGCCAAGCACATTCCTCTTACTCTAAGGCCTTTACACTTACTGTTCTCATTGCCTGGAAATATTAGGTCCCTGCTCAAATGTATCTTCTTCAGAGAGGCCTTTCCAGATCACCCAGCTATACAAAGTGCAGCTTACTTCACTAGAGTCCCTAACCCAGATTAATTTTTCTTCATGACCTTCACTTCACTGATATTTACAATATTATGGTTTACTGATTGGTTTGTTATTTGTCTCTTCCACTAGAATGGTAAGCTCCATTTAAAGTTTGTTCGTTGTTGATTCTTCAGTGCCTGGCACATAGTAGGTTACTCAATGAATATTTATTGATGAATGAATGAAAAGTTGAATGAAGAAAAGAAATGCTAACAGACTTCACCAAATTGTAGAATGGAGAGTAATAACAGTGGGACAAAGGGTATCTGCTCAAGAAGAGTGTGTGAGCCTCCCAGAAACAGGCTAGAGGGGATATTTGCAGGGCTTGGACCTCCAGGGCCTTGGGAGTCACAGATACTGTAACGATTGATATCAAGTTGTAGATTGTTCCCACCAAAGCCAATGAGGCATGGGGAAATAAATTTCATGTATTTGTGTCTATAATCATGGAATAACAATGACTGTTGAACACAGAATGGAATCCTGGTTAGCTCTCTAATGAAGTGTTTTCCTTAATTATTGTCTCTGTCAATTATATATCCCTGAGAAATCATTCATTTTCATGGCTTCAGCTGCTATTAATAGACACTGGACAGATTTCTGTGTTTAGTATCCAATTTCTCTTCTGCATTTCTACTGCCAGTGAAACATGTCCACTTAGATATTGACTTAGCACCTTCAGTCTCAACATATTCAAAGCTAAACACATCACTTCCTTCAGCAAACCATTTCCTCTTCTGATTTCCTTACTTCTGATAAAGGCAGCAATAGCCACATAGTCATTGAAGCTGAAAACAATGAGAATATTCTCTAGACTTCTCATTTAAATTGTTACCTACTTTTGGGCAACTGCTTTTTTTTTTTTTTTTTTTTAAAAATTTGTCTGTCTTTGTTTTTTTCTTTTTCTGGTTCCTACCCTAACACTGGATGAATAAAATAATCTTTGAAGTTTTTGTCCTCTGTTTCCCATCTATCATAGACAGATTCCTCAGCCTGATGCTGGAGATACTGCCCAATATGGCTCACCTTATCTGTACAGATTTCCATGCCACCTTTTCCTCATTTCTCTGACCTAGCCAAACTGGACCACTTGTTCTCTTCCTGATTCTTTCTGAATCCTTCTGTCTTCATGTTTTTGCTCATTCTAATCCCTCAACAAGAAAGCTTTTCTTTTTGTTTATGTTTATTAACATCCTATTTATTCTTCAACACCCGTATCAGATATCCTCTCCTCCATGAAGGCTTTCTCATATCTTCTTTGAGAAAATATGCTTTCTTTTATTTTTTTCAATATCAACAGTTCCAATTTCTGGCACAGTCTACCTTGTTTTATAAGAATTTGTCTTCTTATTTTACTCCAGCCACCATACCGAAAGCTCCTTGAGGGCAGAACCTTTGTCTTATCTTTATATCTCCAAAGTGGGCACCCAATAGACACTTATTGAGTTGAATGGAAAGAGCCTGCCCCAAGCAGTGTTGTTACACTATAGACTAATAATGCCTTTTGGCTGAGGAACTCATTAAATGGTCACATTCACATCCAGGCCTCTTGGGAGTGGTATGGCCAATGTGATTAATTGTGTGACACAGAAAAGGTGTAGAAAGGTTAAGCAATTGCCAATGTCACACAATAGGAAACCCAGGCCTCTCACGGCCCAGTCTACAAGTCTGATTTGAGCTTCTCCTAAGAACACTCCCTCCTCTAGAAAGTAACAATTGCTGTTCATCAGCTTTTGGGCATCTGAAGTGCTTGGAGCAAGGGAAACTGAGAGGCTTAAGCAAATCATCCTTAAGGGATAAATTCAGATGCAGATGCCCAGGGCTCAAATGAGACATCAGGCAGCAGCCTTGTCTGCTTCTAAATCTGGTGGCTGGGGAGCAATCCAAAGAGGGTCTGCCTTCATTCCACCCACCCACTCACTCACCCTCCTGCAAATTGTACAATTCATTTGAGCTAACGGAACTCTTGCTAATTGCCTCTTACTGGCCTGTTACAAGATGAAGCATGGGAAGGGGACAAAGCCTCCCTATTCACAATCTCAGTAGGCAGCGGGGGTCTCTGCAAAAGTAGAGAAACTGGAGCCCAGGCTATTCATTTTTGAAAGTCAGGACAAGATCGTCTACCATTCAGAATCCCACATTATAATCACAATATTGCATCCTGGGAGACCCTGTCTATTTCTCAAATGGTCTGTCAGAAATTTAGAGTCTATTTAATAAGTCAGTGCTACTTAAAATTATAGGCTTTTTTTTTCCCCTCCAAAGTGATACGCATTCTACATTTTAATTTCATTATTATTTTTTTCTCTGTTGGAGATATGGGGAGGGGAGAGAGAGAGAGAGGGAAGGAGGGAGAGAGAGAGAGGGAAGGAGGGAGAGAGAGAGAGGGAAGGAGGGAGAGAGAGAGAGGGNAGAGAGAGAGAGAGAGAGAGAGAGAGAGAGAAGGGGCAGTGCTTTTCATGAAAACATCGGTTTTTATATTTATGTTTTAAGAAAGCAGAAGGGAGGCAAGAAGTCCAGCCTGATAACTGAACTTTCTGTTTAGAATTCCTTGTTTTCCATTGGACCTTTGCTAGGTTTCAATAATTATTGCTCAGGCACATAGTCTTGGAGCTTTGCTTTTTCTCAGACTTGTACACAGTTCTAGGAAGGGTTGTTGCCAAAGCCATCATGTGATTTATTGACCCTCCACTGGGACAAGGGGGAACAGATATAACTTTGTGATTTTATTATAAGGAGGCTGGGTTAATATTTCTAGGTGAAACAAGCTACTATACCAAGTTCAAACATCTGAAGAGGGAGGTTAAGAAACCCTGAGTGTGGGGTGTAAGGATTATTCTGTCCTGGGGCTGTACAGACGTCGTCTGAGGCAGGGAGCAGGAGAAGAAAGGACACATTGTGACCCATTTCCAACACCTCCTGTGTGTAGAGGCGGAAGTTCCTTGCCTGCAGAGGGACACGCGCGGAGGAAAAATAGGAGAGTTACAACATGGCACTTACATAAACAACACCAAACTGGCATAAAACATCTAACAAAATTACACGACTTCAAGCTTGGAATTTTTATACAACATAAATATTAGGGTTCAGCCCATTTAATAATGCTATATAAAATCAAGATTTAAGGCAGTAATGTTCCACATAAACTCTGAAAACAACATTTATGCTTCTTATAAAAGCAGAAAATGATTGCATTCTGTGGGCTTTTCAAAATGATGACTATAATTACATGAAGCAACAAAAATGGATTGAATTAAAAATCCACTAGTTTCAATTTAAGTTGGTTAAGGGGGAAAAACGTAGTTTCTGGCCAAGGGCTGAGAAAATTTTACAAGTATCCAAAAAAAAAAAAAAAAAAAAAAAAAAAAAAAAAAAAAAAAAAAAAAAAAAAAAAAAAGAGCAAAAAAAAAAAAAAAAAAAAAATCGTATGCACCGTTAGGCAGTTAGGCAGCCTTCTCCTAACATGTATATGTAGCCCAAGAGTCACCAATGAAATATGAGCTGCTTCAAACCTGCTAAGTCCAAGAAACTCTTTAATAGGATCGACTGTCACAAGTGGAGCTCTTATTTTTTTTTCCCTAGTGAACACATGGCCACCCTTAGAATAATTCAGTTGCTTCCCTACTGTCTTTATGGCATCTTGTACAATTTAGTATTCCATAGTGTTGGCTGTTTTAAACTTAAAACAGCACCCCAAGGGAAGGACATTCTTAGAACCCTAATTTATTCCTCCATGGGTTAGAGGACAATTCATGGTTCTTTCTCGTATTTAAAGAGAGCGAGTCACGCCTGTAATGGTCTCCCAGTTTACAGGCTAAACTTGGTTCATTGTGTGTGTGTGTGTGTGTGTGTGTTTTGGGGAGGGGGCAGGACTGATGAACATAGCCCCCCCCCCACAGAAATTCAGTAATGCTAACCTATTGGGCAGAGCCTGAGAAACTTTTATTATTCTCCTTTATGCCAAAAGTTTTTCTTGAAGTTGCTTATTAGTAGAGGTTAGATTTGCACATTTTGGTTTACGTAAGACAATAATTTTGACGGAAAGTTCTCTGGGAAAAAGTAGCATGGCATATCCTTGAGACATTGCTATAGATTATACTACTGTTAGCCTTCTATTCTTAGAGAAATCATTTGTACAGCTGAGTACACCTTTATTTATTTATATATTCTCCTTACTTTATGCTATCTTGAAGCTGAGACTGGTGTCTTTCAAGGTAGACTAGCTATTGATTTTTTTTTTTTTTTTTTTTATCTTGAAGCTGAGACTGGTGTCTTTCAAGGTAGACTAGCTATTGATTTTTTTTTTTTTTTTGCTTGACCAGACCATAGTACTACAGTGGGGTCCAGAAAACTTCAAAGAGGTCCAATACAGAGGAGCTGGAGAAAATGTGCAGCTGGAGAAATGCAGCCTGTGTCTACCTGTGGGCATCAAATTCAACATGTGCATGTACATGCAAAGTGGTATTTAAGTCAAGGAAAATTCACACACACACACACACACACACACACACAACACATATACACCACGTTTAATGTTACAATGCAGTTTCCAGGAGCCATAAAAAAGAAGATAAAAATGGTAAAGTCTAGTACCTGGTGTAGAGGTATATTGATCTGCTGAAGGAGAGCTTTCACTGCCATCTGGAGCTCGTAGAAGAACAATTGCATGGGGCAGTCAGAAGTATGATCCACACTTTCCATAGATTCAGAGCCAGGAAGCTTTTGGATCCATTCCCATTCCTCTCTGTATGTTGAGTCAAGTTAAAATTAGAAATATAACAAAAGTTCAGAACACAGCTCAGAACTTTCTTAGTGTAGTGTCCAGAACCTGGATAACCAATACTTGGTGGTTAAAATTCAGTGTAATTCACGAAATCTGAACTTTTTGCCACCCAAATGGAGCTTAAAATGGTCTCTTTCTAATTTAAGCTTAGTTCACCTATCAAACCACATATACCTCAGAACAGCAGGTCTAATTTGTATGAATTGGTTTTTGAGATTGGGGTTCTCAAATATTTTGTAATATTTTCCTGACTGTCCTCATTTTTCTTTCTCTGCAGATTCCCTGTAAATTCTAAGATCCTACATTTTACCACAGGGGCATCTGCTAGCTAATTCTGCAGTTGAGTAACCACAGGACTCTGGTCCAACTCAGGCAACAAACCACTTGGCACATTTCAACCCTGGCCTATTGTAATCGTGGGGACTATTTTGGTTTTTCTCCCCTTCCAAAAGCTTGAGGATAATCACAAACAGGAACACCAGAGAATTCCCATAAAAGGAACCAGGGGACACATATCACGACTTCCATCCTCCTGACAAACCAGTCATCTGTGTCTTTATTCTGCGTGCTCTATAATCCTTCCTGATGAACTTTTCCAAATGTCACACAGAAGGGAAGGGAAAAGAATGGAGGTGGGAAGAAAGGACATCTGGTTTGTCCCCAAAGGCTGCTCTTCAAAAGGTGCATGAAAAGATCAAGGTAAATGCCTCTTAGGTAACATTGTTTCCACAGGTATTTTAGCACAAGTCTCTAAACACATTCAGTTGGCCAGTTTCTCCTTGGAGCTCTGCAGGGAGCAGCAGTAGGCTCTCAGGAGCAGGCTAGAGAGGAAAGGAAAGCCCTCCTCTCAGGGGATGGAAAGAGAGGAGGTGCTGACATATGTTCCCACCCTGGTGAAAACTCTCCGAGGCTTTTCCCAAAGGGCTCCACCAGCCTGGGCTCCAATCTGTGGGTTGGAAAACCAAACTGATTGTGGCATGAGCTTTTCATCAGAAACTGCTTTCTTTTAACAAATTACGTCTTAGAAATGTTTCTCTTTTCAAGATATCTGTTTCAATTCAAGTCTCACACTGTACAAGACTAGGGAAAATTTACCCTTTGTCCTGGTAAGAAAAAAAAAAAACGCTCAAAATTAAATCCGACTTCAATCTGGGCATACTGTTGGCTTCACAAATAACTGAAACCTTTAAGAACCTGCTTGGGAACTATTTCTTTTTTCCCATCACTGATATGGAAATGAGAGGTCTGTGACTAGCATATGCCCACATAAAACCTAAAGGACAACATGGCTAAAGTAGGGTTTGTAATCAAGCTAGAAAATAAATTACCACTAGGAATACCATGAAATACCTACCACGAATCAGTTTTGGCCAGAAGGATGGAGATGGAACTGGCAGAGAAAAGGCTACTGCAATCTTTTGTACACAATGAAAACTGCATCCTTGGCAAGGGAAAATTAGTTGGTATAACCACTAGGAGACAGAGTTCAAGAGACAAATCTAGAAAATAGGTAAATGTAATCATCACTAAGTCAAACCCACAAATGAACTATGTAACCTTGGGAAGGACTGAGGCGATAACTGATGTTGATTGTGGCAATGACCACCAGATGGCAGACTTAAAATCCACGTGTAGCTGACAAGTGAGAGAATATGGTAGTCAGTGAGTTCCTCAAAGGGACCGTTATCATCTTCCTCCTCCTCATCGTCATTTCCTCCATTGTCATCAAGCAATACTTAAGAAACCTCGTGAGCCACTAGAGTTGATAAAGTCTTGCCACTTTAGGGATCACATTTTAAACGACCAAATTAGAGTCTCCTTTGGCTAAGCAAATCCATGAGTGTAACTAGAATTTGGTTTATACTGTTTGGGAGTATCTCATTTATACTCTTTGAAGTCTGAAGAATTCTGGATAATTTCTTTTTTTTTCTTGTCTATTCCTCTCTTTTCTCTTTTTCTTTTCTTTATTTTTCTATGTTGAGCACAATTCAATTCATTTTAGCAGACTTTCAGAGGCCTGCTCTGAGGGCTAGTTGTAAAGTTGAGCCAGATTACCAAGATTGGGCAGCTTTCCCAAAGCTAACAGGGTAATTCACCAAATGCCAAACTGTAGAGTGAGTTTCCAGAAGCTCGGGCCTTGTTACTTCTTTTCTTCCATAGAGAATTATAAGGGTTGTAGAAAACATGCAAGGACCTCAGGCCAGTGGGTCAGAGTTAGGGAGAATGAGGGTGAGGAGATTTTTTTAAGATCGGGGGAATCATTGGCTCTATGAAACCCATTCCTATAGGCGATATTTATAAACAGAAAACAAAAAGAACATGACTGTTTTAGATTATAAAGAAAATATATTAGAAATAGCAGTGTTGAAAGAAAAGGTCAGCTGTTCATTAACCACTTGAACGTCAGTGGTTGTGCCACAAGTAATGCAGAGAGGAACGTGAAGGGACAGTGTCCTCTTTAATGGGTTCACTCCTTCCATTAACCGTCAGGCAAGCCCTCCTTATTCTAGTGTTAAAACTAAACTCTGGTCGGGCGCAGTGGCTCACGCCTGTAATCCCAGCACTTTGGGAGGCCAAGGTGGGTAGATCATCTGAGGCCAGGAGTTCGAGACCAGCCTGACCAACATGGTGAAACCCTGTCTCTACTAAAAACACGAAATTAGCCGGGCGTGGTAGTGTATGCTTATAATCCCAGCTACTTGGGAGGCTGAGGCAGGAGAATCATTTGAATCTGGGAGGTGGAGGTTACAGTGAGCTGAGATTGTGCCATCGTACTCGAGCCTGGGCAACAAGAGTGAAACTCCATCTCAAACAAAACAAAACCCAAAACAAACAAACAAAAACTCTAAGCTCTGCCCTGCTCCAGTGTGGCACCTGAGGACACCTCACCATAGAAACTGCACTGGGAAGTAATACCTCAGTTTCCTTCTGGCACATCAACTTGGTCACTTGAGCCACTGTTTCATTACAAGGAAAATCTTAACTCCTGATCACTTACCTAGAAATGTTATTGTTTTCACGGATCTTCACGTGGCAGAGAATGTTGGGCAGCTTTTGGGTAACAAGAACTTTGATTTGATCCACAGAGCTACAGAGCTTTAGGTAACCCAGATATAATCCAGGAGAGAGACGTTGATGACTCCTTTTGTGATAGGAGAGAATATCCTGTAGGGTGAAAAAAAAAAAAAAAGAAGAAAACAAGAACCATCATTCTCAGCAAACTAACACAAGAACAGAAAACCAAACATGGGCTGTCATCAATCATAGGTGGGTGTTGAACAATTAGAACACGTGGACACAGGGAGGGGAGCATCACACACTGCGGTCGGCAGAGGGGGCGCTAGAGGAGGGACAGCGTGGGTAGGGAGGGTAGGGAGGGATAATGAGGGGAGAAATACCAGATATAGGTGATGGGGGGATGAAAGCAGCAAACCACCTTGCCATGTACGTACCTATGCAACAATCCTGCATGATCTGCACATGTACCCCAGAACTTAAAGTACAATTAAAAAAAAAAAGAAAGAAAACATCTCGAAGGGCAATCTCAAAATCTTTTCCTTTCTAAGGCAGGCCTATCATGAATGAAAGGAGCTATCCCTAAATAATTCGGTGAGAAACCTCATGTATACCATGAATGCTGGGGAAATAGTGGTACAGCTACTCTTATCTTCAGGGTAATTCTCCTCCTGGCTGGGTAATCAGTTTTTAATATATTCTATATGCTTATTTGCCTAAGATTTCTGTGCCAGTGTAGCTGTATGGGTTGATTGGGAATAGGTGGTGGTGGAGGCAGCTAATAAAGAAAAATTGAGTCGACAGTTTCTGCCCTTACAGATTTTAGTATTTAGCTGGGAGAAAACAGATATTGGCAAGTGCAAAAGCTGACAGAACAGTTAAGAAAGCTTTGTAATTTCTGGATTGTTAAAGTGGAGAAGTCTATTTTTAAGTAAAACTATTTAAAATAGAATCCAAATTTTTATAGTAAGTAGGTTCCTTATCTTGAAAATTAGAAAGTACTGCCAAGAGGTTTATTTAATTTATATTAACATTTAAGTTGTAGCTATAATTATGCACTAATTCGGAGAATGAAGAAAGAATGAATCAAGCGTTGATTCTTTTTTGGCTTAATTTTTAAGGCTAAATTGTATGATAGCTAAAATGATACTACTTCTATTTGACTTTTGCAATGTCATCATGAAGAAGATAATGTTTATAAAAGTATTTAAAGTTTTCATATTTTTTTCCTGGCATATTTTTAAAAATGTTGATATTCGAGTCATACTTTTATGAAATCCGTGTTCGTGTTATGTTTTTCACTACTTAACTGGTCTACCACTTCTAGATTCTCACTTGTCAGTGGCTTTGCATGCTATCTGATTAGGTCTCTACATCATCAGTTTCACTAAATTCTGTATCTTTTACAAGATTTAAAATTTTGCCCTGTAATGGATTTTCATTGAATTTGCATTATATTGTCACATCATAATATTCCAAAAGCAGCAGAGACTGAACAAAGTTGTTGATTCAATAGTGTCAACCAAGTTAAGTTACAGGGATGTTTGAATGGAATTTTGTTTTTTTATGTGGTCAGTTCTCCAGTGAACTATTTGGGTCATGACTTTTGATTCTCTATACAACTGCAGGCACTCAGATAATGAATAATTAGAAAATACAGACACCATGCCCCTGTCAGTATGGGCAGTGGGGGTTGTGACACAAAGTTAGAAGTGATGAGTCAGGTAACTTATTAATAAATAGGGTTTGGATTTGTGTCTCCACCCAAATCTCATGTTGAACTGGAAGAGGGGTCAGGTGGGAGGTAATTGGATCATGGGAGTGGATTTTCCCTTGTTGTTCTCATGATAGTGGGTTCTCACAAGATCTGATGGTTTAAAAGTGTGTGGCACTCCATGCCTTGCTCTCTTTCTCCTACTCTGCCATGGTGAGACATGCTTGCTTCCCCTTCACCTTCTGCCATGACTGTAAGTTTCCTGAGGCCTTTCAGGCATGCTTCCTGTAGAACTGTGAGTCAATTAAACCTCTTCATAAATTATCCAGTCTCAGGTAGTTCTTTATAGCAGTGTGAAAATGGACTAATAAACTTATTGTAAGAGAAAGTTTCCCATAGGTTAGAGCATTTTCTGGTTTTCAAAAAAACAAGGGTTAAATAACTAAGAGAGTAAAGTTCAAATGCCTTACCACCAAAAATGATAGTAAGTGACGTGACAGATGTGTTAATTAGCTTGATACAGTCATTCTACATTGTATACATATATCAAAACATGACTTTGCACCCCACAAATATATACAAATATACTTTGTCAATGAAAAATAAGAATAATGAAAAAAAAATTTTTAAGGGTAAGATAAAGGGAATCAACTCTACCTTTAAATGCAGGGAAGGTAAGAAAACAAACGTTTAAATGTCTATAGAATGCTATACGGAATGAAAAAATATAGGGCCTCTGTTGACCATCATACTCTGAAGGAGTGATCTTTCCTTGGTAGAATTAACCACCTGCAACATCTAACAGATGTTATTGTATATCGCCTCCTCTGTCTCATCCTTTATCAAACACATATTGAGTCCCTGTAATGTGTCAGGCACCATGTGAGACATTGGGGTTTCAGGTGAGTATGATGTCATCCCTACTTTTGAGGAGGTCAAAAAGGACAAGTAAACAGATGATCACAATATACTGAAATCAGTTTTATAATAAAGGCAATGTAGGAATACAGAAGAAGGAGGACTTATGTTTTTCTTCTTCTTTTTTTTTTTTTGACTCAACACCAGACTTTATTATTATTGTTATTTTTAAAATTTATTTTATTTTGTTTTTATCATACTTTAAGTTCTGAGGCACATGTGCAGATCATGCAGGTTTGTTACATATTTGAGATGGAGTTTCGCTCTGTTGCCTAGGCTGGAGTGCAATGGCACAATCCTGGCTCACTGCAAACTCTGCCTTCCAGGTTCAAGCGATTCTCCTGTCTCAGCCTCCTGAGTAGCTGGGATTACAGGCACCCGCCACCACACCCAGCAATTTTTTTTTGTGTTTTTGGTAGAGAACAGGTTTCACTATGTTGGCCAGGCTGGTCTTGAACTCCTGATCTCAGGTGATCTGCCCGCCTTGGCCTCCCAAAGTGCTGGGATTACAGGCATGAGCCACCGCACCCAGTCAAAACTACAACATTCTTCTTTCCTGATCTTTTCTTGAATTAGACTGTGAAATTAATGGTAAGCTTATGTTTTTTATTGTTTTGTGTCCTTAGTGCCCAGTACTTTTCTATATAAAATAGGCACACAACATGTGGAAAATTGGGCCAGATGCCTTAAACACGACATAAGGGAATAGTAGAAGAGGGACAGAATAAGAATGGTCACAATTGGAAGAAACATATAATGAGCGTGTACAGAAAAGCTAAAGTGAAACAATTTTTCAAAAGATCACTTGGTCCAAAATAGTAGACTAGAAAAAAATTTGATTTCATGATAAAGAAGGGATTCTTATTAATATTGAGATGGATAAGGCTGAACTTTTTAATGTCTTCTATCCTGTATCTTCAGCATAGATCACAAGTAAGTAGTTGACTAGAATAAGTTCAGTCAAGGTGAAATTTGAGAAATGAACATTAATTAACGGGAGAGAAATGGTTAATGAGGGAAGGAAAAATGGAAGTATTCAAATCCGCTGAATTTGATGATATGCACCCTAGGGATAGTTGCTAAACAAGCAGATGTGGCTACAGACTCACAGGTCATTATTTTTGAGAAGTCATGGAGAACTGGAGAAGTCCCTAAAGACCAGAAAAGGACAAATACAGCTGTCTTGGAAACAGGGAGAAACATAGAATGACCCTAGTAATTAAAGACTGCCAACTTATTGATCTTTAGGAAAAATGAGAAAGAACCATCAAACAATTAATTTGCAGTCATCCAGGAAATCTTGAGACACTTAAGAGATGTCAAGGTTCTGTGAAGAGCAAATCGTACAGATAATCTTATAACAAAAGAACAGGATTCCAAGAACAGGGAAAAGTTTCCAGTGTAATCTGCTCACTAGATAACCTGGAAAAAAAAAAAAAGAGAATCTGGACCATGTTGCTTTTAACAAGCTGAATATCTGGGTGGGAGATTTGTAGATAATGGAGATGGGGAATAAATAGCAGACATATTGTGTGATGGTCCAGTAGGGATTGGTCCTGAGGACCAGTTTTTTCAACTTATTTATTGACATTCTGGACAAAGAAATCAAGAATGTGTGCATCAAATTTGTGGGTCCCAAATTTGGTATGGTTCTGCTTTTATGGAAAATAGTAATGAAGTTCTAATGCATTGGAAAAATAAGCCTATGATAATTAGGGTTGAAAATAAGACTCTATACATTGGAAGAATAAGCCTATGTTAATTAGGGTTGAAAATAAGAAAATGTGCTTGTAAAGACCTACTCCCAAGAGTACAAATATAAGATAGGTAAGAGGATCAGAGAAAAACACGTGGGGGTCAGAACCGACCACAACAGAATATGAGTTAGGAGTACACTGTGGTTATGTAAAAACCAACACCAGTCTGGGATTGAATAATTTCACTCTTTCATTCAATTTTTTAAAAGACTATTATTGAGCATCTACTTGTGTTTTCCTGCCTTTATGTAGTCATTTTTCCTTCTTTAAAATGTTTTGGAGCCTGAGAAATGCATGGAAATGTAAAGAAGCTGTTTCATCCACATAATCTAAGACACCCTAGAAAGGCCTTCTGTTTTTGTTGTTGTTTTGAGATGGAGTCTCATTCTGTTGCCCAGGTTGGAGTGCAGTAGCTCAATCCTCCACTTCCCAGGTTCAAGCGATTCTCCTGCCTCAGCTTTCTAACTAGTTGGGATTACAGGTGTGTGCCACCCTGCTTGGCTAATTTTGATATTTTTAGTAGAGATGGGGTTTTACCATGTTGTCCAGGCTGGTCTCGAACTCCTGACCTCAGGTGATCTGCCCACCTCAGCTTCCCAAAATGCTGGGATTACAGGATTTGGGGATGCAATCCCAAAATCGGATGAACCACCATGCCCAGCCTAAAAAGGCCTTCTAACACCAAACTGAATGCCCATGGTTCTACATAGTACCTGATTTGACCTCTAATCTGCTTTTCTAATCTTCATTTCCATGATAGT